GTCGGTGGTTTCGCGCAGCTGCGTCAGTGTTCTTTTATTGTTGTTGTCGTTCTGTGTCTGAATTTTATATGCAAAATATGCATGTAATAATACGTTTGTCGACAAACCTAGGCCAGCCCGGGGGTTAAGGCGCCCACTTCTCATGGATGAGGGTGCGTCAGGTAATCGCTCAAAACCTGGAAAGTACCTACATGACCTTTTCCGAATTATATGTATGTTTCTCTTTTTATTTGGACTTCACTCAAAGACGATGAAGGAAAACACAGCGAGGAAACAAGTCTTATAAGTTCTAATTATAATTTTGAAATTCCTAATCCCCCTTAATTATTGATTACGTGAACCTCTTTATGAGATGAGGCCTTTGCTCAGCAGTAGGCACTCATAAAGTGATCATAATGATGAATAAAATATACCCATGATACAATGTAAAACCGTAGTAGGTATAGGGTGAAGTTTAAAACCGAAATTATTTAAACTATTTTGTTTGAATGTTGCCAAATGAATAATGAAATCTTCGGATTAATTTATATACGAATGCTGATTACGTTATTGTAACTTTTCCTTTGATTAATCTCTGATTGCTATTCAATATTTATGTCTATCAAACGTTGTAAGGTTTGCAAATCTAGCATTTTATTGGCCATCATTTTCAATGACATTGAAAGTCTTACAAGAATGTAAAAAATAAAAAATGCACCGCTCTAAGATTTCCAAATGCATCGTGATACGTTTACAAACATTCAATATCATATCTACAAAAAATCTTAGCGTGGAAGAGCCAAGCTTCGGCACGAATGGGTCGGCTCAACCGGAGTGATACCGCGGCCTAACAGAAAACCAACGTGAAACAACCACAGCGTTGCGTTCCGCCATGTGTGTGAGGTGATCGGAGGCCCAATCGTTTCCCTCCCCTATTCATCCACAATCCTCAAATCTCCGAAATCCTAATTCCAAAATGTCGGCAACATACTTGTGACTCGTTTGGAATACCCATCAGGTATTCCGTCAGGTTGATTGCCGACTTATGACATAAAATCAAGAAAGAAAATCTAAACCCGAATTATCAAATTGCAGATCGCGCAAATAATTGTTCTGTACAGGAATTGAACCCGAGACATGTTGTACAGCAGTCGGTTGCCCAGTAGCGTCAACCGTGCAGTCATTTCAATTTATCAAATCCTAAACGAACGCCGGCGTTCGCGTAGGTACATATAATATTGTTCTTTTATTGTGTCTCGAATTATCACGAAATTTTGATTTAGCCTTGGAATTATAATTTATATAACGCCTTTTTTCTTATTATAATTACCTGAGGAAATACTAAAGTTTGCTAGACCAAAAAATTAGTTTTTTTTAAACAAACCTTATATAAATTCACGATATGACGTTAGTGGATTGAGATACATACCGAATGTATTACATTTATTTTTATGTTATTTTTTTATTGTGAGATTAAAATATTAAGTATCTTATTGCATATTTATCGCCACATAGGATAAGTAATCTAAGAATATAATTTTTTGCGATTATAAAATGCTATCAAAAACCGAAAAGCAATGCAAAGCAATGACTTGAACTACCTAGTTATTGTAACGTGCATTTTAAAAAATAACAAAGGAATTAAAAAACCTAGGTCAGTGCCGAGTGAAAATATCATCTCGTCTGGTCGAAAAATATTAGAGAACTTTATAATCTTTAGATGAAGTTGTTCACTATAGATAGATTGTGTGAAAAATCAGAAAACTATTGATATAATATATTTTTCAATATTCTAGTGTTTACTACGTATACAGTTTTTGGCGCGTAAAAATAGAAAGTACGTTTCAACCAACATCTATCATCTAATTTTTAAAGTGTTTCGAAACACGCAGATCGCTGATCGCCTCTAAACGTAATAATAATAAGTTTTTTTCTTATTTTAATCTCAAACTTGTAATTTGAGTCTATAACAAAACTAATTTCAAAATAGGTATAACACTTTCAAAATTGTTTCGGTAAGTAATTTTTTGTTACTGGCACGTAGGTAGATGACGTTCAATGTTGTCTGGCTTTTTGTGAGCTTTTTGATTTTGAAAATAGAATATTATTTAAATTAACACTTTCAAAATTGTTTCGGTAAGTAATTTTTTGTTACTGGCACGTAGGTAGATGACGTTCAATGTTGTCTGGCTTTTTGTGAGCTACCTACCTATTTGATTTTGAAAATAGAATATTATTTAAATTGTTTTTATGTCATATGCAAATTAAATAGGTATCAAAATTATTTTATTCTGGTGATGTGATTCAAATTTCGATCTCTGGTTTATTGAGACTGTTTTTTTTTATAAAGTTCACTTCAAGCTCGTATTCATTTTAATAGTCCATTTTTTTATAGTGCAAAGTTAAATTATTATGAAGTAGCTAATGAATACATACCTGTAACATACTCAAAATCCCTATATTATTTACAAGTCATCATTTAGGTAAAGTAAGTACAAAAAAATAAAACTCAGTAAAAAATAGGTAAGTAGATATACCTACATAACAAAAAGAATGAATAAAAGACTAATAACATTTACTTACTTAATATAATACATATGTATAAAAAAGCACTCTACTCTAGTCGATACGAACTCGCATAAAAAGCCACTCTATTTACAAACAAAGTTATTGACTCCATTTTAGTAGGTACACTTTAACTGGCAGGGCAAGATGATGTTGCCGCGTGTTAGTAGGCCACAGAGAGGCCGATGTACAGTTAATGCATTCCGAATTGTAAACATTGAATCATCTTTTTTTCATGTAAGTACCAAAACGATGCTAGGTTATTTTACACCAATGTGTCAATTGTTCTTAAATACATTTCAATCTTTGTTATTTTGATAAAGACTTTGTTAGGTAAATAAGAGTGAGCTTGCTCGACACGAATGGGCCGTCTCGACCGGAGTGCTACCACGACCTCACAGAAAATCGGCGTGAAACAACTTTTATGCTGCGTTTCGCCGCGTGAGTGAGGTTACCGCAAACCTAATCCTTCCATCCCATTTTTTTTTTTCATTTGTTGTTAGAAAAACAGAACTGCGTCATTACAACCATTGTCACATGCTTACTGTTAATGAATTGAATGAATTCTAGTCTTATCAAGATTCAGGGTCAACGTACCATACATAATAAGCCACTTCTGGACGATGGACTTTTTTTTCGAGAGGGGATAATCATCAAGTGTCTTTTCTTGTCCACGATGAGGAAAAGGGGATTGTCAATCTCTTACTGACTAAAAACACCCCTTCCTTCTCCTACTCTTGCCTCTTGCGCTTACTCCGCAACCCCGGCTGAACATCAGCCCTGTTGGGCCCCGTCTGTAGTGGTCTATTGGCTCTAGGTTGTATTTATACTTACTGAATTCTAGTCTAATCAAGAGTTTCTCATTACCAACATTCTATTATAGCACACTTCAGGAATATGCTATGTGGGTTATAATCGTGTGATGGTTTGCCAGGACAATCGAATGACAGGCGGAAAAAGAGACTGGACTTAAAAAACATTGGCGTTTTGAATGCTTGAGACAAGAAAGAGGTGGTTTTAACTCGGTGTTAAGAACCGTTGATCTATGATTCTGTCACACTTAGCTCTTTCGGAAGCATTGCATTTAGCACAACCTTGAAAGTATTTAAATACGAACAGAAACATCACGCAGACTCTTTGTAACTTCCATAATTATGACTTTCTATTCAATAACGAAACACGTTTGCCAAATATTTTGAGCATTACGAAGATGTAGACAGGCAGACAGTCAACTTTATTTATTAGTTTAATTTGATATACTTATAGTATTTATGTTTCTTCATATACTACTTTTCCCTATATTATATAGCTGGAGGGTTTGTTTGTTTGAACGCGCTAATCATTAATGAAATAAATAGAATAATTATTTTTGTATTTATTAGTACATCTATCGAGGAAGGCTTAGGCTGTAAAATATCAAGCTACGATTTGTAGGACCCGAGCAGCGAATGAAACCGCGTCACGCTAGTGCTAGTGTTTTCTTGAGGGGGGAAATGTCTTCTTTCACCCAGGGCGAGGCGAGAAGGACTCATACTCTTACTGACTAAAAATCACGTCGTTCTTTCTCCTGTGCCAGGCCAAAGCCTTGGTACCTTATTGCGCTAGTCCCGCAACCCTGACTTACCGCGGATGACCTAGGAGACTTAGGAACTACTATATATCAATCGGCAGGCGCGCTCTCTGATAAAACTGTTTGCTTTTACCCTACCCTAGGCGAGAGGGAGTTTCAGACTCTTACTGACTAAAAACCAGCCCGGTCCTCCTCCTGTTCAGACTGGGCCGAAAACGTCTCACAGAAAACTCGCGTTGCTTTATTCGGTTGTGTTTATAACCGCATCCACGATATTACCTACTATATGTTTAAATTGGGAACTAGTTAAATTTTAAGAATGGTTTTTCCAATTGATAATTAAGACCATTTTTCACATACGATCGTATCGTAAAACACAGTTTTCCGATATTTTTTTATTTTATTGTAATTGCAATTAAAAGTGGTAAAAATATTATGAATCAATTTTAACTAAAAGTAATTTACTCATTTAAGAAATAAATAAGTAGTTATTATAGGCTCGTCAGCCAATACTTCTGCACATATCGTAAAAATAATTCTTAATTACGTTTGATAATAAGTATTATTGATAATGAAATACTTTCGTACATTTAATCTTTGGTAGTTTTATCAAATAATCTTTTATACAAAGATGTAAATTATCAGCTAAAGAATTTTATTTCCTGAGAAAGAATAATCTTGTAAATACTTTTTGAGGTTACTAAAATTGAGGTTTTGATAATGTACTAAAGTAAAAATACAACAGCAGATTTAGCTTGTACAATTTAGAATTATTTTTTACGACTTTATAAATTTTTACAACTTTATAAATTTTTATAAACCAAATTTTTTTTATCAAGAATTATAGCAAATAACAAAACACAAATTAATAAAAAAAAATACTCACATTTATAAAAAAAAACTGAGATCACCAAAAACAAAAATTAAAATAAATAGGTACCCTATCTATTTTTGAGAAATACTTAAATTCAAAATTCGAACGTTCCGACGCAAGCGCGTTAAATATATCAGACAACGCGTATATGCGTCGGACAGTCGCGACCAACTGAGGCGTACATTTCATATTTCGAACACCGGACACATCGCTCTCTGATTGTACAGCCTATCAAATTTGAATTGAACTTTATTGTTTTTGAATTAAAACTAAAAATTCTTTATAGATTTTTACTAACTTAAAATAACTTTATGTGCGTGCAGGCATTGCATGTTCCGTGCAAGGTTTTGTAATAAAATACACTTACTAACTGTGAATTAATAATAATAATGTTTTTGTTTATATGATAATACATCCTTATATACTAATATTATATAAGTATTCAGTTGCATCCATCCTGTTAGTTACCTAGTTGAGAAATATTTGCTAACTGTTTTGTACCTACGCACTTACCTACTGTTATGAAATATCCGTTTGCATTCTATTGACAATAGCACAAACATCATTCTATTTTTCCGTCCCATCGGATCGTCTGTGTGAGAAGAACAGAACATTCTTCTCAGAACTATTTGCTTTAATGTTTCTTAACGTCTGTAAACGAGCAGACGGATTACCTGATCGTAAGCAATCAGCGCCGCCCATGGACACCCGCAACACCAAAGGAGTTACGAGTGCGTTGGTGGCCATTTAGGGATAACGGTTTCGGATATATAAGGATTGGGAAGGGATGGGTAGAGGGGGTGGGAAGGTGCCTCCGGTAACCTCACTCACACGGCGAAACACCACTGTGGTTCTTTCAGGCCAGTTTTCTGTATTATGATGGGCTGCAGCTACAAGCACTTAGGACGACTTGTCACTACATGGCATAAACAATAGTCGCTTTCTCTGTTCCTATATCCCTATGTAATGCCTAAACCTTTGAAACTACACAACGGATTTTGATACGGCTTTTTAGTAAGTAGATAAACTGGAACTCCGGTGTTCGCTCCCATATTGTTCTTTTATTATGCACGAATATGCCTTGCCTTTAAAATTTGGGTAGGGGGGGTGGGAAGGTGCCTCCGGTAACCTCATTCACACGGCGAAACACCACTGTGGTTCTTTCAGGCCAGTTTTCTGTATTATGATTTGCTGCAGCTACAAGCACTTAGGACGACTTGTCACTACATGGCATAAACAATACCTAGTCGCTTTCTCTGTTCCTATATCCCTATGTAATGCCTAAACCTTTAAAACTACGCAACGGATTTTGATACGGTTTTTTAGTAGATAAAGTGGAACTCCGGTGTTCGCTCCCCTATTGTTCTTGTTCTTTTATTGTGCACGAATATGCCTTGCCTTTAAAATTTCCGTGAAACGGTTGCCGTCGACCGATTCGGCATGGAAGTACAATAATCTCTCATCGATAACTTTATTTGTAGGCTGGCTTCTTTGGGCTTTTTTTATGTAATATGTCGGCAAACGAGCAGACGGATTACCTGATGGTAGGTAAGCAATCAGCGCCGCCCATGGACACCCACAACGGAGGAGTTATGAGCTTAATTGCTTTGCGACCTTTTAGGGATTAGGATTTCGAGATTTAGGGACTGGGGAGGGATTGAGGATGGGGAAGGATCTGTCTTATCGTTTGCTTTAATTTCTACAGAAAATAAGTGTGTTGTGTGTCGTAGGTTTTTTGTTACCGACACGACCGGAGTAGTACCCCACGGCCTCACAGAATACCGGCTTGAAACTACGCTTGCACTGTGTTTCGCTGTGAGTGAGGTTACCGGAGGCTTAATCCGCCCCCAACCACCCCCAAAACCCACTTCCAACTCTGCCGGTGTTGCAGGTTGGTCGATGGACGATGCTGATTGCTTACCATTAGCGATCTGTCTGCTTTTTTGCCGCCATAAATGAGTCATGTCACGTGTTATGGGTACGAAAATGTGCTTTGAACATTGAAGCTTTACGATTTTTTTTGGCAATAATTTTCTGTTAGTGACGTTTGAGCAGATGTTTGTGGTTGGTATTTCCTTATTTTTGACCAAAATACATTATTAAGTGATTTAGTATGAAAAACTCATGGTTGGACTTGTACGACGTACCTACGGCTACGCAAACTACAAAAGGTAGAGGTAGGTTTTTGTTTTAGGTACCTAAACAGTTAACAAAAATTATCTACTATTGAACTTGGTACGTAGACTTCAAAATTCCGATTTTTGTGCTTAATCTACCTTAGCATTTAGGTAGGCTGTCATTGGTAGGTAGGTATGTGTTTTATTAATACTTATATCCATAGTTATACCTGGGGATAATACATATTAGCCTTAAAGGTACCAACTTAAACGAAGTCATTTAAAAAAATATTATAAATAGACCAAGCGAAGTAAATATGTATATCTAACTTTTTCAAGCAAGGTACTACTTATACAACAACAAGTAGATTACATCGTTTTTAATTTTAACTTTCAAATCTATGTATGTGTCTAGAGACACATACTTTCAAATCTCAAGTCAATATATAATATACAATCTCGAATGAAATCCCAAACAAAAACCCACCACCTACTTTAAAAGTGGGTGATAATAATGCAAGAGTATTCAGAAATATAGCGTGCATTTGCAACCGGTTAATAAAAACCAGATTCTGTGCGAATGCAGACAATCATGAAGAACTATGTGGGCCAAGTCTTCATGTCGTCGTAATGATACCTTTTTACTTGTTGAGCAAGATGATTAAAGTTTGCGGTCAGTACTTGCACCCTTAAATCATCCTCTATTTTTAATTCAATATTATTTTAGGCCTTAGGAATGTCCTTTAGGCAACCAAAAATTTTAACAGTAGGATGCGTAATGTTTCTATACTCTTTAGTGGGATGAGAAAACAACTGGCTGCAATCAGGTACTTGTTACTGCCCAACCTAATAAGGACTGACGTAAAAGATTTCCTTTGTGTTTTTTTTCACATTATAAATCATTTTAACGCAGGTACCTATAGGTACTTAAACCTGTTCCTGTTATAATGTTATTGACGTCAATGAAGAAGATCCAGCAAAAATGCTTCGTAATTTACAATTAATCACCACAGCAGGGTAATCATTCTCATAGAACCGGTAATCGTACGTAATATTTATTTAATACTTCATCATTTCATGACCTATGTATGTTTAATCAGATCAGCCAACCGAAGAGAGAGCTTTTTACAGTTAGGTATCCATAGTACACCTCGACCTTGGCAAGTACTTGAAGAGTACAGCTATATTAACTAAGTTGAAAGGTGCAGATAACTGGTGCCAACCCTATCAGAACTGGGCCCAGTTTTTGGACATATCAGTATTATCTCTAGGAATGTTCAGAAGTTTTGCAGTACAGAAATATATAGACGATTATGAAGTGTGGGAAAGTTCGATGTGAGTGGGCCGGAATGAAACCAGGCCTCACAGATTACCGGCGTGAAATAACGCTTGCGTTGTGTATTAACGCCGTGTATATTTAAACTATTAGGTCCTAATGTTACAGTAATCGAGCACTTCGTGCATTGCATGGGAAGAGAATAAAATTATTAGATATGTAAAGTCACATCGTTTCAAAAGCAATGTCCGCTACTACACTAAGACAAGTTACATCAAATAATTGTACCTAATAGTAACATAAAGAAGAGCAGACCACGTACGAGTGGGATTACTCAAGCCACAATCTTTCCTCCACATCTTCCACTCTTAAATCGTAAATCCATGGAGGATTTAACACATTCAGTGCCCCCGACGCGTATGTGCGTTTCCTCGCACGCACATACGCGTCGGGGGCACTGAATGTGTTAACAACTTACAAAACCTTACACTTGTGATGTCGTTTCCTTTCAATTAGCCTGTATGCGATGTGACTTGTCACTTCGGAAATAAAAAGTTAGTAATGTCAAAGTTGGCAAGCTGTGGTTTAGTGTCAAACGTCAATGTCACAAGAATCCGAAGAATCAAAACAAGCAGGGCCTGAATTTTTGTTTTAGTGAATTTAGTTTCTTTTCATATTAATCGTGCAAATTAAAGTTTGATATGTTATAATAACGTTTTGAAATAAATAAAATATGTTTGGAATACATTTAAGGCAGTTATACCGTACTTGCGATAAGGTTATAATTCGTAACCTCAGGAGTCGCAGATATGATCCTACGAAACCAAATCCTGGACTAAACAATCGATTGAGAGCCTTTCAAGAAGATGGTATGCAAATAAAAGAAGAGAATCTCGAAGAATTCGTCGAACAATCTGAGAGCGATTTTTATAACGTAAGTACCGAGTTGATACCATACTTGCTTATATCGAAATTGTTATTTTTCAATGAGCTAGTGTTTTTTTCCTTGCAAAGTTAGCATTAATTAAGTTTTTCTTCCCGAAAACTAAGTGTAGAATAGACATGTACTTTTATAAAATAACTCATTTATGTACTTGATAAACTTTACAGGTCGGACAAGCATATAATGAATTTAAAAAGGAGACATTAGTGGGTAAAATTGAACTGCGACATCACATTGTCAAGGACAAGTATTTCAAAGAACACATGCCCAACTTACTTACCTGGAGTGAAAAGGAACAAATCCGTCACTTAGCTAGCAGTGAACCTGATGAATGGACTCCAGAGAAGATAGCCGAGAGCTTTCCTGTCTCCGTACCGTTTGTCAAGGTAAGTAAACACTAGTACTGACTTTACTTACCTTTGCAACAACTGTCATTATTATTTTATTACTTCTTAGTAAAAGATATTCTATCTAAAGGACTGCATGTATTGTCAAGGCTTACAGCTCTAATTTTTTGTTCTTATTTGTGCTTTGGCATTATTGTACAAGTTAGAATTATAATATCATATAAATAATCGAAATACAGCGAATGGCAGCAGTCAGTTTTCTCACGATGGTCATAAGTGACATTTTACTTATTTTATTCTTCAGTCATATTTTAGTTATTTTATTCTTACAGAAACTACTCAAATACCCATGGAAACCAGCAACAGAAGAGCGCATCGCGCGACATGACGCTTCAGTTATGAGGAATTGGAAGGAACTAAAAGAAGGCTCTTTGGATATACCACCAGAGCTCAGGGAACATTTTCTGAAATTCTCTGAAAGAACCATACCTCCATTGAAGAAGGAATCCATTAAAATTGACATCACACCTGAAAGAGATCTTGGGGAGTTTGAGAGGATAGTTAGAAAATGTGCTGCAAAAGAAAACAAAGACACCAACTCCAAGCCCTCTAGCAGTAATGGACCTCTCGCAATACAGAGTTCGGATACTAAAACAAATTCAAAGGAAAAACAACCAAAAATTGATGATAAATTTATAACCTTAGATGAACTTACAGCAAAAATTAAGAAAAGCTTAGACACAGGTGATAATGTCGATATTAAGGATAGTATTATATTAAGCTCAACAGAATCAACACCAAGCCCTTTGGATAAAGTCCCCGAAAAGGAGGTATATCAAGAATTAGAATTGTTTCATGATAAATACCCTGACAGTGGTATAGTAGAATTTAGAAGTGAAGTTGAAGATCCAAAAGAGATTATGAATTACCCTGAAAGAATAAGGATCCCTAAGAAAGCTTATAAGAAAGGAGCAACATATAAAGTAAATGATTGCTATTATGATCATGATGGTAGATTCTTGTATAGAGTATTAGGCATGTCCCAATAATGTATTATATATAAATAGGTTGAATAAATAAAACAGTTGATATTGAAGCCTTATATATTTTTTTATAAAAATTATATGCATTTTATTACACTTGTCAAAATAAAATAATCTTTATTCAATAACAAAACTTTGCTAGATAACTGCACGTCTTTTACGACTGTAGCTTTGAATATACAATTCAAATTTACCATTTTTCTTAGATGAATATTTTACAACATGAAATAACCCTTACATGGCTTCATTGTACAATTTTACGGAACTAACAATATGGCTTGTACATGTTCGATTACTAGTGTACATTACAATTCAAAGATGTTAAACATGAAAATACATTTTTATTATAAATTTGGATACAGAAAAAGAATAAGCCAAGGTTAAAATACGCATTTAATTATGATTGTAGATTCAAATAAATAAGAGCTAGAATTTGATCGAAAAATTTAGTTTCATTGACTTTTTGTTGTCTAGGACTAAATGTTAGTTTCAAATAAATAGTGTTACATAAGATTTTCAATGAAAATAATACGGAATATTTTGTTAAGCTGAGTATTTTTGAGTTGCAGTGTAGATGAACTGCCTGGAAAAATCAACCATTTTTATTGATGTACAGTGAAAGCAGTTATTCGGTATGCAGGCAAGAAAATAAATATTGAATTCGTACAAAGACTACTAGTTGTTACACTAACCCTCCCAAAACCGTTGCAACTCCTATAAGCCAGGATCTACAGTAGATACAGCCATAAAGAGTCCGGAAAACACAGAAGTCTGGCGCGTCCCAGGAACATGAATGAAATGTCTTAGATCCCGCAACGAAATAAACCATTATTTGCGGAAAAGACAAATCGAGATAATAAGTTATTTTTAACCAACCATTATTTTCGTACCTGCATACCAAAAAACTGTGCCTATGTACATTGAAAATAATAGTTTTTAAACTCCAATACATGTTGGTACTTTTAAGTAACTGATATTAATGTGCTACATTTACTAAAGGCATACAATGCTACTCAGAACAGATGGCAGTCATACAATTTCAAGTAAATAGAGAATGACAGACAAAAATAAACAATATGATCTCATCATATCAACTAACTATATTGACACTTTCATGAATACTTTTGAATTTTGGCAGTCACATTATTTACTGTCTCTGTAATTTTGTATATATCACAAAAATCTATGACTTTACAAAACAATGTTACTATTTCAAAAATTGCTATAGATAAGTTAATATTTAGTGTTTATATTAATCACTCAATGTGCTGAGGACATAAATAATGTGACTATGTAAACATACACACCTCTTCATACAATTCGTTTACGAATTCAACCGCGTCACTGCACTGGCATCACATAATTAAGCACAATTATATACCGCCCTCCTTGGCCTTACAACTACTCTATACAACAACTCTATGTACATTTGTTATTACAGCCACCGCCCCTCACTTAGCACCCACGATCCTAGACTAATGGATATGCCGAAACGTGAATTTCTTACATACATTGCTTATGAGTGAACAATACTTCGAAATATACTTTGGGGCAATGTTCATGAGACTTAGGCCACAATAAACCATTCAATTCCACTTATCTTACAGTTCTGACCTTATTAACTTTTTACTAATAGATTCATCATTTATTACAAGTAATGTTGAATCAAGTGTACCTTGATCCCGCTTGGACGGGCTTGTAAAGTTCGTCAAGTTGTGGTATTGTAGTCATACAAACGTAATGCTTCGATAAACTATATCGTTCTAAAATAAAATGGACGGTACTCCTACTTGTGTTGTATATAGAACGAAAAGATCAAAACTAAACTACAAATAATAATAAAAACTCTTTATCAACAAACAATACATAATCATTCATATACACGTACGTTTTATATTGTTTTAAAATGTAAATAATATAATGTGTGTAAATAAAAGTTTGAAGGGATTTGACCCGTTTCGAGTAGCCCCGTCGTAAATAAAAGCATTTCAAGCTGGAGTTACGTTAAGAATTCATTAAATGGTGAGTTCTGCTGTTCTTGCGTCTTACGCATTAAAAAGTTATATGTGTTGACCACACATGCGCGGCGCGACTTATTGCTGGATAGTCGACAAATCTTAGTCGCGTTCGTAATTATTAAGACTTATGTATTCACCTAACTTTAACAGTTTGAGTAAAGTATTAATTGTTTACCTCCTTTACAAAATGAAAGTTAGATGGAAATATAGATGTTTTCTGATAGGGGTAGGGGTACTATAAAGGTTTAAAAGAAGTTTCAACTCTAAGCGATTTGAAATAGAATACAGAATTGTACAGAGGTAAAAAATTAATACATACACCATTGAAAGCAGCGTTACTGCACCACGAAAACACGCCTTATTAGAAATAAAGACGTTACAGATAAAAACGAGTTAAATAAACATTACTTAGGACACCGCTAACCAAACTATCTCCACCACTTGTTTGCGCAACGAAGAAAAAGTTTGCGCAAATGAGGCAGAGTTAGTTAAGTTTTTGCGCAACTTAAGCGATGTATTTTATCTCGGTATTAGGTACTTTATATACTTGTTTATTCGTCTACGATCAATCGTAGTCGTTTGAAGTAGTGTCGGCAACAGACGGCGGTGGGGGAAGGGGGGAGGTCTTGGGGTCTTGCTACTCCTCCGAGCTGATCGAGCGCTCGTGTGTATTCGCGTTGTAACGCTATGAGGTCGATGTTGTGCTCACCGAGGGCTGCCATCGCGAGGAACAGGATGTCTCTGTGAATTTAAAAAAATATTTATATACATAATGGATATGACGTTGGCACTCAATAATCCCACGTTATATTCTCAAATACCACATTTGTGCAAATGTGATCACTTATAAAAGAGTATAACAAACAACTTAGTGGCTAATTCGTAACTATTATCATTATATCTGGCACAAGATTCTACTAAAGGATCATTTGGACATAGATTTGGTTCAGCAATTCATCTTTGTTAGAGAAGTTTCACATAGCGAGTATTGGGCTCGAATGCAAAGTTATTGTATAACAAAAACTTCAGGGAAATGGTTTCTACATTACGTCGACAAATCGACACAATTTAATATTAGTCTGGAGTTGCGGGTCAAGCGCAGTAACGTACCGTGGGTCCGGCCTTGAGTAGGAGAAGGAATGGAGTGGTTTTAAGTCAGTAAGAGTCTGACATTCCCTCTCACCAAACCGAGGGCGAGAGAAGTCATTAGACAATTTCTCCCCTTTTAATTCCACGCAGGAGAGCGAAGTCATTTAATGATTTCCCCTCAAAAGAAAAAAAATTAGTGCTTACCTATAGAAGGAATGGTATCGTTTATTGGTGGATGTGTTCTCCCGCCAAGCGGCTAGTTTACTTAGAGAATCTGTAAGGTCGTTGCTCAGCAAACCATTGAGAACCGCCAGAGCCACACTGTAAAGAAAATCATTTTTTTATAGAATTATTATGTCAGACAAATACGAAAATATTTGTAAAAGATATAGATTATAGGTCAATTTATAATGAATAATATATCTGAATTGTCATTTTTATGTGAAACTAGCTATTCTCGCGCGGTTTCACCCGTTGCTCGATGTTTTATAGCCTATAGCCTTCCTATATAAATGGACTAACAAACACAAAAATAATCATTCAAATCGAACCAGTTGTTCTGGATATTAGCGCCGTTCAAACAAACAAACTCTCCAGCTATTATTAGTATAGATAACTTTTTGTCAATAAACCACAGACATTTCATTTTTGTTATTATATTAGCGAAATTACGCTAAAACTTCAAATCAATATTCCAATATCAAAACGCGGTAAAATTCATATTTCCCATCCATTTCCTAAAAGACGTACAACGAACTTTGGCGATGTGAGTAACCGTCAATGGTTCCGATTGTTTACCAACAGGTAACCTTTAACACATTCAGTGCCCCCGACGCGTATGTGCGTTTCCTCGCACGCACATACGCGTCGGGGGCACTGAATGTGTTAAGTTCGTTAGTGGCCTTTTCCCATAACAAACATTTAGACTGACATCAATATATAGAGAGGGTCTAGCCTGAAATTAGCCGATATGTAAAATAAACAACAACTGAAGATCGAACTTGAAATTGATCAATTTACTATTAAAATAGCATTATTCTTACGTATGTCCCGCATGTTCCTGGTCTCTAGTAAGCAGTAACGCCTGCAATGCCCTCGAACGAGCGTGTTGCCTGCGTCGCTCCCGCCATGCGCGGTGCAAGGCCACGCCCCCGCCAGTGTCGCCCTCTGTATTCCCTTCCCACAAGCATATCACGCGACAACCACCTGTAATGTTGAATAATATTAGAGATTAAGCAATAGAAATGCTTTGAAATATGATTTAATTCTACTACTACTCGTAATAAATAGAAAAGAATATAACAAAATTTGTAAGTATGGTATACTTTTCCGTAAATACTACTGAATACGAAAGTTATAGATTTTAGTCTGGAATAACACGTACGTCTACTTTTTACACAGGTTATGCGGGCAAAACCGCCTAAAGAAGCTAGATTAACTTTGAATTTATAGATTCTAACGGTAAATATAGTAATTTCGTAGCTTAAATTACTATTCATATTTGTAAGTCTACATATTAATTGAAACAATATTTACTTAATTATTTTCAACTACAATACTTCTACAAAGATAAACTTTTTATCAACCTAACTACTTTTTTGAGAGACTAACACTCGGTTTCTGAAAGGCTTGTCAACGCTAAAATTAACTAATGTCCTGTTAAATCTCTTGTCAAGTCATCTGGTTGGTTGTTGATAATTCAGTCAACCAACCAGATGACTTGACAAGAGATTGAATTGATTTTAACATTGATCGGCCTTTCGGAAACCGGGGGTGTGTGAAATTGAATACTTGATTGATACACTTAAATTGTATTTTGACTTACTCAAGCCTGAAACCATACTCGGTAACTGAGGCGTATTTGCTACATTGTATTGTAAACTCGACATCTACTAACTAAACAAACTCTCAGGAATACTAACAATATTCATAAAAGCAATAAATGTTAACTCTTGATACATTATTTATCTGTTTCGTTAGAAGATGTAAAGTATAAGCGAACAGTAGAACGAAACGTATTTCTTGATTTATCTGGAAGGCAGTAAATGCAGAAACTAATAAATGATACGTTAATTATGTAACTCTATTCGTACGTATGGTACATATTTTATTCTTTTGGTAAAACAATGTAAATCTTTATGTATTTTGGATGCATTTGTAGAATGCAATGCACTTACAGACACATACACAATTACACACCTAAAATGTGTAGATCACACAGTGAATAGGGTTGTTTCCCTGTTCTAAATTAAATATTTCGATTTTAAATAGAATAAAGAAAGAAAGAAGTAATCTTTACACACTACAATATTCGTTAATTTGTTGATACACTTGGAACTAAGAACAGCTATATTACGTAGTTTCAAGGCTCAACGGGAGACTAGTAGAACTTTTGTCAGTTAATTCACGTGCGTAAGTCGTTACTTTAAACTAGCTAAAAAATATATGTTCGCGCCCCACACTAAAAGTTACTAAAACCGACCGGATGTGTGCCCGGCTCTATGGGACGCGAGGGGGTGGAGAGAGGGACGCGGGCGCAAGCCGCGCGAGCGGCAGCCGAGGCGACGCGCCGCCATTGCAACATTACGTACGCCGCTAGAGCATGGTCGAAAATTAACGAAATTAATGTTAAGCGAAGCCAGTGTCGCGTTGTCCTTGTAAACCTGTATTTAAAATTTATCCTAATTAAAATACTTATCACTATCAAGAAGAAGTATTATTTGTCTCCGACAAAAGTGGCGACCGTGACAGGACAAAGAAAAGGACGCCGCGGCGACGCCATTACGAGTCACACATAATCCGACGCGCCGGCGAGGAAAGGAGTGAAGGTGGAGGACATCTGAGCTGCTCGGGAGCCTACTGGAGCCACAGGAGGTCTAGCCCACAAGGAGAGTAAGCCCTGTTCCTTTAATCTGTACATAATCCTAAATATCCTTTGTGTGTCCTCGTCTGTGCGTAGCGGACGCTTGCTACTCGAGCGTTAGGTGTTTAAATTCCTAATCTAGCTTACGGTGGCAGGCTGTGCACGTAATTATAACATAGCGCTTCGCCCAAGTTTTCGACTCCGAAATTTACAGAAAAAGGTGTTGCGTTTTTATAACGTTTAAGCATGTGTGTGTGACGCCTTCATGGCGTCAGCTTTATAAAGTTTTCTAGCTTGAGACTCTTGAGAGTGAGTTTTAACTGTCATACACGCACATTGCACGTACCTAATTTGCACGCAACTATTCATAACTCATTATTTTTCGATTTTCACGCTAATTCCATAGCACTCACAACGCTATTTACGTGCAAATACTAAGGTATATACCTAAGTATATTAAGACTTTGCAGACTTTTCAACACTCGAACCGCCTTTCCATTTTATTTGCCGACCATCCCAGCTCCCTTCCCTGTCGGGTGGAGGTCGACACGTCGTGCTAACGGGTTCATCGTGTGCGCGCGGCTACGAGCTGCTGGCCAAGCTGTCTGCTCGACGCGAGCTTCAGCACCGGCACCAGCAGCGCGTGCGACCGGACCTGAGCTTCTCTACTTCCCGAAACCGGTTTGAGTGCACATAGTAATTTAATTACTTATTCGTTATTTGCGTTTGTGATTATAGTATAAGTGTTATAATATGAGTGAATCAGAGCTCAAAATGGAATTATCCACCTTAGTTAAACAGCGTGGAATAATAAAAGGTAGATTAACAAGATTTGAACAGTATGTTAAGAAACTAACAAGTTTAAAGGATATACCTGCTCTAAAATACAAAGAACTTGAATTAAAAACTAGTAAAATACAATCATTAATAAGTGAATTTGAAGAAATACAAAACAAAATTGATATTTTACATTCGGATCCTGATGAGCAGATCCACGAAAGAGAAATGTTAGAAAATAAGTTCATTAATGTAATAGCAATAAGTCAAGAATTATTTGATAATAGCGGTGTTAAAAAAGAGACAGATCATAATGATCAATTTTCAAGTAATCAGAGTTCTCATAAACACAGTGGGATCAAATTACCCACTATAAAACTTCCCACTTTTGATGGAAACTACCTAAAGTGGTTAGAATTTAAAGACACATTCCTGTCTGTTGTAGATAGCAACTTAGAAATTCCCACTGTCTGTGGTCAGCAGCGACCAGGTGTTATTAAGTACAGCTCTTATCCAGGTTGTGAAAGATAAGAAAACATACACAGCCAGAGCCCTGTTAGACACAGGAAGCCAATCATCCTTCATTACTGACAGTTTAAAAGAAAAATTAGGTTTAGTGATTAACCCGGGAGGGTCTGTAAATGTTTGTGGTATTAATAATTCTAATTGTAGTATTAAGCAAAGTTGTAATTTAAAGCTTAAGTCTAGGTGTAATTCTTTTGAGATTAAAGTTAAGTGTTTAGTTGTTCCCAGAATTACTGGAATTTTACCAAATTCTTTAATAAATACCGAATATTTGAAATTACCAAGTAACATTGATTTAGCTGACCCAAATTACTTTTTTCCTTCTGAGGTAGATATCCTCTTAGGGGCAGATGTCTACTGGGACATAGTAGGCTCTAATTTAATTAAGTTAGGTAATAAAAATCCTGTTTTACAGGAGTCCAAGTTTGGGTGGCTAGTCAGTGGCCCAATAAGTACACAACAGCCAACCTCACAAGTTTATTGTAATTTCACTCAAGAAATAAAGGAATCTTTAGAAAGGTTTTGGACAATTGATGACCTTCCAGTTACTAAAACATATTCTGTAGAAGAACAGCTTTGTGAAGACAATTTTATTGAGAATTTTTCTAGATTACCTAATGGTAGGTTTGCTGTGACAATGCCTTTAAAGGAGTCTCCTGAGGAAGCTCTTGGGAACTCATATTATATAGCTAAGAAGTGCTTTTTAAATCTAGAGAAAAAATTTGCTAAGAATCGTAGTCTTAAGATTAAATACAAGGAGTTTATAGATGAGTATGCTAATTTAGGACATTTAACAGTTTTAAAAAATAAACCTGATTTCGGATATTATATGCCCCACCACGCAGTAATACGGGAAAAAAGTGAAACCACTAAACTGCGGGTAGTGTTCAATGCCTCATGTAAAACTAGTTCTGGAAAATCACTTAATGAGATACAGATGGTCGGGCCAGTTATACAGAGTGATTTAATATCAATTTTGCTTCGCTTTCGTAAACATAAATATGTTCTCACCGCAGATATAGAGAAGATGTTTCGGCAGATTGAAATTAAGGAACCGCAGCGCCACCTACAACTAATATTATGGCGCGATGACGAAACAAAACCGATAGATATCTTACAGCTGAACACAGTAACTTATGGTACTGCGTCTGCACCATTTCTCAGCACTCGATGTCTACTACAGTTAGCAAAAGAATGTGAGGATAAGTCTATAGCATGTGTCATTGAAAATGATTTTTTTGTGGATGATTTAAATACTGGATCCGAAACCGTAGAGGGTTTAAAATATATTTATAGGGAAGTTGTTGCTACTCTTGATTCAGCACTCTTGCCTTTAAGAAAATTCAGAACAAATTGTCCTAGCTTATTTGAAAATGATGATAATACAGCAAAATTTGTAGATTTTAATAAAGAATCTAGTGTATTAGGTCTTATTTGGTGTCCTAAGTCTGATAATTTACTATTTTCTACAGATTTACAGCATTCTGCTCAAATAACCAAACGGTCAATAATCTCTACTACCGCCAAAGTATTTGATCCTTTAGGACTATTAAGCCCTTGTATTATAGTCCCTAAAATTTTACTACAACAACTATGGTCTGCTAAACTGGACTGGGACGACCCAGTACCAGTTCAATTTTGTAAGAATTGGTCTAACCTTTTGAAAGAATTTTCATATTTGTCTGATATTAATATAGAACGTTGGGTTTTATGTGACAATCCTAAAACTACAGAACTACATTGTTTTGTCGATGCCTCACAACAAGCCTACGCGGCATGTATCTACTTGCGATCTGAAGACTGTACTGGAAAAGTAACAGTTAAGTTGTTGTGTGCTAAGGCACGAGTCGCCCCAATGAATCCAACCACTATACCGAGGCTGGAGTTGTGTGGCGCACTCCTAGGGGCTCGTCTATGTTCTAAGGTATTAGATTCCTTGCAATGTAATATATCCCGAAAAGTTCTATGGTCTGATTCGATGGTTGTGTTGGAATGGGTGCAAACTCCACCCAGGGATCTTAAAGTATTTGTTTGTAATAGAGTGAACGAAATAAATATACTGACACCGGGATTCGACTTTAGATATGTACCAACTGATCAAAACCCTGCAGACATGGGTTCTAGAGGTGTGTCTCCCAAGCAGTTAAAAGCTTCTAGCCTTTGGTGGGCAGGGCCTTCGTTCCTCTCTAATGACCCTACTTGTTGGCCTACACAACAACAAATCCCTAGTTTACCAGAACTTAAAATCCCACCCAACATTGAATGTCACACCACAATTGTAAATAACATAATTGAATTTGAAAAATATTCTAACTTTAATAAACTTATTAGGATCTATGCATATGTGCAACGTTTTGTACATAATTGCTTAAATAAAAATAGTAGAATTAGTGAACCATTAGATGTTAAGGAATTAGATAAGTCATTATTAACTTTAGTTAGGTTAAGTCAGTTGGATAGTTACTCTGACGAAATTAAATTAATTTGTGATAAGAAAACTCTTAATTGTAAGTCTAAATTATTGTCGTTGAATCCTTTCTTAGATGACAACAATATATTGAGAGTTGGTGGTAGGCTTCAAAATTCAGAATTTGATTTTGATAAGAAGCACCCCATGATTTTAGATGCAAAACATCAGTTCACTCAATTGTTATTCAGGCAAGAACATGAACGTTTATTTCATGCAGGACCGCAACATCTGCTAGCGTCTATCAGAGAGCGATTTTGGGCCATAGGAGGTAGAAATTTAGCTCGCAGTACGACTAAGAAGTGTCTACTCTGTGCTCGCTTTCGAGGAAAAACCATTCAACCAATAATGGGTAACTTACCTTCGGAAAGAACTTACTCAATGTTTCCTTTCTACACATGCGGTGTAGATTTTGCTGGTCCTTTTACTATTTCAAGTCGCAAAGGTAGAGGAAGTCAATCCTCAAAATGTTATTTATGTTTATTTGTATGCCTCTCGACTAAGGCGATTCATTTAGAATTAGTAAGCAGTTTGAGCTCTGATGCATTTATATTGTCTTTAAAAAGGTTCATATCAAGAAGAGGCAAACCTAGTGTCATCTATTGCGATAATGGCACTAACTTCAGAGGCGCAAATAACGAAATGTCTAGAGTGCTCAGGTCCAATCGTAAGTGTACTGATAATTTCGCAAATGATAATGGTATAAAATTCGTATTTAGCCCGGCGTACTCGCCTCACTTTGGGGGCATATGGGAAGCAGGAGTCAAGTCGGCAAAGTTTCATTTAAAACGCGAGGCCGGTAAAGCTTCCTTGACGTTCGAGGAGCTTGCTACGTTATTAGCACAAGTCGAGGCCATACTTAATTCCCGTCCTCTGTCTCCCCTATCTTCCGATCCTACCGATCCTACACCACTTACCCCAGGGCATTTTCTTGTCGGGCGACCTCTCACGTCGTTACCGTCGGCACCTATTAATACGAAGAGTCCAAATCGTTACCAACTTATAGAGAAAATCAGGCAAGACTTCTGGCAAAGATGGCGCCGGGAGTTCGTAGCGGAGCTGCAGCAACGCACGAAATGGAAAACTAGACAGCATGAGCTTCGTGTGGGTGATCTGGTGATCCTAAAAGAAGAAAATGTTCCCCCACTGCAATGGAGACTCGGCCGTGTCACACGTTTGTATCCTGGGACGGATGGAGTCAGCAGGGTGGCCGATGTCATGTCTTCCAGAGGCATAGTACGAAGGGCTGTGAACAAAATGTGCATCCTACCAAGTTCAGCCCCAGCAGACACGACACTGATCAATGATGACAAGGATGCTGCCGAGAATAAAGAAGCTTGAAAGCTACCCTTTCAACCCCGGGAGGATGTTCGCGCCCCACACTAAAAGTTACTAAAACCGACCGGATGTGTGCCCGGCTCTATGGGACGCGAGGGGGTGGAGAGAGGGACGCGGGCGCAAGCCGCGCGAGCGGCAGCCGAGGCGACGCGCCGCCATTGCAACATTACGTACGCCGCTAGAGCATGGTCGAAAATTAACGAAATTAATGTTAAGCGAAGCCAGTGTCGCGTTGTCCTTGTAAACCTGTATTTAAAATTTATCCTAATTAAAATACTTATCACTATCAAGAAGAAGTATTATTTGTCTCCGACAATATAATTATTAAATATTCAATTTGACGCAATAAATATATGATATTACATGTTGCGATATCATAATCGAAAGTATTGAATTTGACATTAATTTTGTCAAAAATATTATATTTGACATTTGCCATTTACCGAATCCAAATAAGATTTAATTTCAATTCACTGACTAACGCCCGGGTGTTACTCAAGAAAAATAAATGATAGGGACGATTCTACAATAAAATAAACCTAACAATCTAAGTCGTCACTTACCGTTTTTCTCCGAATCATGGAGCATATCAGTGCTCTGGTACTTCGTCTGGAAGTCCGGGCACAAGAGATCAGGGAGATGGTTCTCAATATTGGCTCGTTCTAAGAACCACACTAAGTTCCAATACACTATTGGATGCGATTCCACGAAACCGGAATCTGCTAAACATGAGTCTCCTTCTCTACCTGAAATAGAGATTTCATCCTCCATTGAATGTCATCCTATATTAGAAGTCTTGTATGATGGAAATGTTTATAATATAAACACTCCACAAAGGTTAAATTTAAAATGTTACAATTCATTAATGAGCCGTCTTCTACAAAATATTTCTCATCAATGTTATAACAAGTAGCTCAAATAAAATATAAAATCATATTTACGGAAGTAAAATACATACCAAGAATGGACTCGAATTCTTTCCTCAACACCAGAGGATTTAAATAAGGCACACTTAACGTTTCTGGTTGTGTTTGGCCGGAACGGAATATCTGTAAAACAATTTACATAAATTATTTATGTATTTTTTTTAGGAACTGAACAAAAGCGTACTTGTTTAAAAGTCACACAATTATGTATATCAGAGTGTCTACAACTCGATCCCGGGGCTCGATTATTGGGTTTTAACGATTTGCCGAAACGTAATTAAACAAAGTGACCGGGTTTATGGTAATAAGCCCAGGAGACTTACGCCCGGTTTCCGAAAGGCCGATCAATGTTAAATCAATTTAACCAATCAGATGACTTGACAAGAGATTTAACAGGAGTTAATTTTAGCGTTGACAAGCCTTTCAGAAACCTAGACTAGACTTAAATGGGTAACATTGCCTAATTGTTCGGAAATCAAAAGGCATTGTTTTGTTGGTGTTGTTGTGAAGGCCCGGAGGTTAAAGCGCGGCTTTTTCCGAGTTACATGTACTTTCTATAATTATTTAGATATCACTGACATACGGTGAAGGAAAACATCGTGAGGAAACCTGGACTTATAATTTCAAATTACAAGTTTGAAAACGCCAATCCTCCAAGAGCAAGCGTGGTGATTAATGCTCAAACCTTTTCCCTGTGAGCAGAGGCTTTTGCTCAGCAGTGGGCACTTATAGGCTGATGATGATGATGATAATGATGATGATGATGATGATGATGATTGTTTTGTTATAAAAGAATTGCCTACTACTAACCTGTACGGACAATAAGGGCACCGTATGCCTGCCGCACGCGATGCACCTAGTATTAAGGTTGGAGTCGTCTGCCGCCCATCCCGCCATGATATCCTCATCGTATAGGAACGCCAGGCACTGGTGGCATTGTGAGCACGACGATAGATGCACCACTATTGAAGAATTCTCTGACGTCGTGTGCTCCTGTGGAGAAAGTATTATCAAAATATTAAATACTAGCTACTCTCTCGCGGTTTCACCCGCTGCTCGGCTTCATTTGATCGTAGCGTGATGTTTTATAGCCTATAGCGCTCAGGAACATTGTAACTATTTATCAGTGAAAGAATTTTGGCAATCCGACCAGCGGTTCCAAAGATTATACCCTACATACAAACTGACAAATTTACTAATTTTACCTCTTTATAATATTAGTATAGATATCCTAAAACTTTTAATGGATACAGACACATAATAGTAATAAAGCTTATACCAGTCATACAAACTTCTTGTCTATACATGAAGGCAACTGGGCGCCGCGCAACGTGTCGCGTGCTCGATTCCCGCACGGAACAACTTTTCTCAACTCTTTGTTTGAGGCACAAATTGTTGTTCCGAGTCTGGGCGTGATGTGTACGTGGAATGGTATGTTTGTAAAGCACACAGGAGAAAATCTTAACGTGAAAAAAAAATGAAATATGTACTAAAATACTTACACTCAATGCTGGATACAGGTTGTCGGGAAGGTGCGAGATTAGCGTAGCGAGGGAGCCGCGCTCCATAGAGCAGGCTAACTCCGCATCGCTCGACGCCCGTCTGAACCCTACGCCGGCAACCCATTCTGTAAGAATACATTCAATTAATAACATGTATTTAATTAATAACATTATATATAACATAAAAAGTGTTATAAACATTTTTTTAATTATACATATTTGTATCTTTAGCTTAAATAGCATTATTTTTCATGTTTATAATTATCTGTTATAATAAATTGTAGATAATGTTTGTGGGATGCATTGTTACATCAAGTTGCGTTTATAATGTATGTGTACACTATTTATAATGTAGCTGTTTATTGTCTCTACCCAATAAAATAAAAAAACTTAATGACTTCATAAGTAAAAAGCTTTGATATAGAAAATCGACAAAATATTCTTGTTTGGGGATAAGTAAAAGGATTATGTCGAGTTTTCAATGTTCCGATATATTTATAAACAAATATAATAATAAATTTTACAGGAAGTTTAGTATTGAGTCCGGTTATGATAACAAATAGAAACTTTCGGTAACAATGGAACTTATGAAATAATACATGAATATTATTTTCGAGAAATACGAAATATAAAGCACTATAAAACAGATTTTAAAAATATCTTACCATCAGGATTAATTTCGGACGATCCATCAGTAGAATCTTCCTCTCCGATCAGACTGTTAAGAGCGCTGGTCGCATTACCGAAAGCGCCCTTCACGGGAGTAGAATTGGCAGATATGACCTCTTTCATTTCATCGAACTTTTTCGCCACACTCGTTGCAGCAGACTTGAGACTACTTAGCCCACTTTGTAATAACTCATTTGACCTTTTTCCAGCTATACTCGTTGGGCTGAAAAACAAATTCCAATTAAGGTACTATACAGTCGTTAAAATGTATGACGTATTTCGTTTGATCTTTCGAAATTGAATTTAGTATGTAGCAAAACCTCTATTTACAAAAACTAAAACAACCATGCTTTTTACAAGACATGTGCATTAAAAAAACAGCTAACGCCCGAATATTGAAACGCTGCTCAACTTTTTTTCTGTATAATACATTCTGCCGCTCTAAGGAGTATAGAAGCGACTACATAACTTGAGTAGCGTTCAACTACAAGGGCAAGACATGCAGACTTATGACTGGGACAACAGTGAAGGTACGAAAAAGGTTTGAACACAATGAAGACATCAAACGTTGTTCGGGTACTAAATGGGTAAATCAAAATCATGGATGGCATGGTCATCGTTTTATGAATACTTACAGCAGGCATAATGTGAGGCTGCATTGTTTGTTTATAATAAAAAACATTATTCGTTTTATTTTTTTAACAATTACATTTTAAAGGGTTGTTTCTTGTAACATTCGAGATTCTCACCTGAAGTAATTCTCGATCATAGCCTTCCCAAGTTTCATGTTTTCCTTGCGCAACGACAGTCGGGCGGGCGAATAGCGTCTAAGAAAACAAACAAGCTAGCGTACTGCGTGTCGGTGCGGTTAATAAAATAACAGAGCTATTTTATTAGATAAATAATATTGAACACAAACTGGCTGGCTGCATTTTTAAGTAATAGTTTATCAAATAACACTTAAATAGAATTAAACTTAATTAGAATTAAATTAATAACATAGAATTCTAAATGAAATCATAATGTATTTTTTCCATAGGAATTATCATTTTTGGTGAAGTATTCTAATTATATTTTACGTGCCATTTGAATAAAAACAATTTAAAATATTCAATAATACAAACTTTTATATAATAAAAATGCAACACAGCCACATATATGAAAGGCTAAAAAAACTATAAAGAAAATAATAAGAGGGAGCTAGTGGCTCCCAGAATGAAACACATGCTTCGTATAGTACAAGATGTTGTACGTGAACTAAAACATAGCAGTGACATCTATACATGACAACAATATTGTATTATAATAATTATAATATGTACACATCAAAATTGTCTTGATATTTTTAAAGTGTTCCTTCTATGTATAAACTTTTATAGATTTATTTTAATTTGCGGTAGGTAATTCTCAGTAATTTATGACTAGTAAATCTAGTCAGGCCAGTAGATGAAGCTAATCTTTTCTATCTATGTATTAGATTTTTAACCTTATTGTTTTGGTTGTAAAATCGAAAATAGAAAAACATATATTGATATAGATAAATGGTAGGTTGCTAGGTTGCTTGAGGTAGACTTAAAACTTAAAGACAACATTCGTATCGAGCTTTTTTGGTGATAGCAAAAGGTTACTGAGAATGACCAACTAACCTACATTAAAAAAACTTTTTTGTAATACTAATGCAACTTTATTATATCAAGACAATACAGAAAAAAAAACACTTAAATCTTGAACTAAACACTCATTTAAAACTAACATTTAATATGAAAACTTATCTTAAATTTATTGGACTCACCCGAAGCTGATCTTGAGCGTGTTTCCTAGGCTGACGAGACTTGAAGAGACCGTACCAGCGGGCGCCGTCTCACTTCTATGCAGTTTCCTGCGTACAGGAAACTATCGAGGTTATCTCGCTCACACGGGACGTAGTTCTAGCTATACTCTCAACGTTAGCGGGCGCACTGTCAGGTTGAGGGGCGGTATGGGAGGGATACACACCAAAAATCGTGTCAACGAGACAATATTTTTAATTGGTACATTTTTATAGAATAACGTATAACACTTATTTACGAGTAGCGTCGCGTCGAGGCGACATCTTTCAATAGACAAATTATTCAGCAAATTAGAAATAGTCTAAAATTTTGCTGTAATGAAAATATGATAAAGTTACCTGTAGCTGTTTTGATGGTCTGGATTTCTTGTCTTTTACATAATTATTCCCCCAGACAACTAGATACTACAGCCCTAAAAAAACATTCCTACCATTTCATAAGATTATTTTACATTATAAAATAATCTAATTGAAAAATTTACAATATTCGAACTTTACTTTATATTTTAATATCGTCTCGTTGATACTACTTTAGAACTACTTGGAGGATGTGTGATCGGGTCTAGATAGCTTAGCATGCTATTTTATTCGCAGTAATAAGTGAGTTTATAGGAATATCTACTTTACACAACATTCACAAGGCGAGTGAGATTAGTTGAAAGGTGTTTTACAGTATGTGTGTGAGTGTTCAATATCAAAAATGTCCTTTTAACGCAATTAATATAATGCTTGACAATCAGACTTCCCATAGTCTATGTGAATTACGTTTTAGTGCAGGGATTTTCACGTATTACTAGTAATGCTATCCGGTGGGCGTCAATCGTCATTAACAACGTGTTTACAGTAAAATATAATTATAATATAGTTCACACGTGCATATTTGTCTCTGTCAAGTGTGGGAGGGAAATGGGCTATGAAATGATATCATGACCTCGCAGAAAACAGGTGTAAAACAGTTCTTGCAGTCTATTGCTTTAATCCTGTCCCTGCTTCTCTTTCCTCAGTTCACAACTACTAATTACCAAGAGGTCAGCAACATCGCAGGCGACAGCGATTCCTTACCACCAGAGATTATGTAGGGCAGATTTTTGGCGACCAATGCCATAAAAAAAACACAGTGCATCATGCCTTATACGTCACATGCAAGTAAGCTGTAACGAAAGCTCATTAAAATTAGACACCAGCACATCAACACTAAATAGTCACATTATAATAACATATTTTCAGCTTTATAGTTTTAGTATAGTCGAAAATCTGTTGATGAATGTTGACATGAACATGATTTATCACAAAAAGGTAATATGCAATTATAATATGGTCTAATAATGTATTTCTCAAGTTCGAGCTGAAAAGGCTTTAGAATGCCCTAGATAGAGCTATAATAATAAGAGACATCAAAAATAGCTTATCGACATGTACCAGCTCGTATCGTTTGCTCTTTACCTAATATCGCACAAAGTAGGGTAATGACTTCATCAGTGCAAGGATAAACGTTTTATTATGGCACGTCCACGATTTTATATAAATATGGTTGATAACCATCGATCACTAATAAAGAACTAGATACACAATCAGTGGCAAAAAAATGTCCCAACTAAAAGTCCACCAAACTCAACATCGCGGTGTAGTTTTAGTTTAGTACCACTCGAATGCTCCGACGGTAAACACGCCTCAGTGCTCGTTAAAAAACTGCAAAAACACACACATCTAAGATGCAAAAAAGGATGGAATTTCATATTTTCGTTAAGTAATAATATTATCATTATATAATTGTCATCATTCTATTTTAAATATTGATATTTTATTAAGAACTTAACTTTAAAACTTTTTCCAAATGAAATCGTATTCAAAAACCGGGGTTATAATGCACACAGTTTATAAAGACACTTATACTAAACGTAAAATCATTCTCTAGCATGACCACTTAAGTTGTTCGGTTTACGTGGATTGATTCTGTTCCGTTTAGCGGAGACGCTATTGTTCCTAATTTTATTTATTGTTTTTTTTTTATTGAAAAATAGTTTTTATTTAATATTATAATTCTTTACTGTGTTTATTAAAATATGGAATAGGCAGATATAATGGATTTAATTTTAACTGCAGTAAAGACATTTTTTTTAGCTTTCATCAAAATCCCGTGCGATATGAAAAATTTACAACAATAACGCCAACGTTTTCAGTACTTACTTTAGATATATATTCTTTTTATTATTTTACATCTTTTTATTTGACTTCGAATAGAAAGGATTAAGGAGGACGAAAATAAAAAAAAAGAATTATAACTATATGCATGCGTTTCATTGGTAAATAAATGAACAAACCTATAGAAAAGAATACTATAAGTAATGCGTTTTAATTTGCGTATTTTCTTTTTTTGATAAATTATAAAATACGAAAGAAATATATTTCTTACGTGACATTTCGACTCCAATCATTCTTTGTCCTAGCGGTGAGCCGAAGTCGTTAAATTTTATTGCTTATTTTTGACACTTTGTAAATTCGACTTAAAAACATGCGAATATGGTTCAATTTCTTATGATTTGTGTTTGTCAAGAGCTTCGGTCGCAAAAAGTATTAAGATTTTGTACATCACTTTGTAAAAACAACTCTATGAGTTGCATTTAAGGTTTAATTTACATTAATGCATTTTTATTTCAAGTATAAGTACCTAAATACAGTTGGCGACAGTTTTGAAGCGAACTTTTGTATGGGATTGTGTATCTAGTTCTTTATTAGTGATCGATGTTGATAACCTATCCAGGTTGATGTGCCGTTGCCAATGCAATAGTAAAGGAAGTTGTATACCCTGTATGGTCTGGCGCAGGATCGTCTTGGAAGGAGTTACTGCGGCGATGGAACAACTTGGGGCTGACGCTCAGCTCGTGCTTCGGTAGCGCGGGCTCCTCCTCACAGGGAGCCACCGCGGGGGGCTCTGCAGGGACCTCCGGCTGACTCAGCGCGCCTAGGGGGTCGTCGCTAAGGACTGGAGTGCGGGCTGATACTCTGTAAATATGTGTTACATATTATCATTACTACTGCTATACAATAATTATATTGTTGGATGGGTATATGATGGGTCATAGGTCAAACCTCCCTAAGGTTTGACCTATGAAAAGCTTAAAAATAGTAACAGCCTTATTACAAAACAAGATTTATGTTTAGTCTAGGTCTAAACCATTTAGCCAGTTTTTGTATTTCAAATTGAAAGTAGGTGAGAATAAGATTCAAAATACAAAACCTGACTCAATCAGTAATGTTTTGTAATAAGGGAGTAAGAGTTTAATGAACTAAAATGTTTAAACTTCACACGCATACAATATATTGAGCAATTAAGTTAAACGAAATTTTAACAAAAAAAAATCTTGTCAAATATTTACGAATAAAAAAGTATATAGTAATAATTTCATAAAGAATACTAACTTCAGTGGTGAAGTCTTGGCATCCGGCAGGTCAGTGGCTGCGGCTTCCTTCTCTGGCTCTTCGGGAAAACTGAGCGTCCGGGAACACCGAGACTTTGTATTGGGTGTTGTTACTGAAATAATAATACTAATCTCTAATCTCTATAATAAATTATTATACATATATTGATATGATGACTGCACGGTAAGTGCAGTGGTTGTTCGTCAACCAGCTGAAGTGCAATATGTCGCGGGTGCGATTCCCGCACGTTATAGTTCTTTGTGTGATCCACGAATTGATATTTCGGATCTGTGTCACGTGTATGTGAAATTGTATGTTTGTAAACGCACCCACAAAACGGGGGTGGACAACAGTCTCCGCACCCATAACAGGTAAACACAACACACAACACTGGGCAACAGTTACATTTTTATACTTTGAATGCATGTATTTTGTCGATAGCATTTATAGGAGATGTATCGTGATCAAAATTGGACCCAACCAGTTTATTATTTATGCAAATTGCAAACATAGTGCTATTCGTTTCCAATGTTTAATTTGTTATGAGGTCATAATATTATTGTAATAACTCACCATTAGGGAACGCTAGCCTCTGTATTTGTTGCACGATCTGTGCGTCTCCCGCGAAGCTTTCTGACCGCGTGAGGATTCTTAAGTCGGACGGACTGTCCGGACTTACATGTATTGTCTGCAAACAAAAATATACTGAAAAAAACATATATGTCTTGGAATCGAGAACCTTTCTCCTTTTTTGAGGTGGATTAAAACCATAGTATATCTCAATTATAAAATCAAAGCCAAATTATTGTATAAGACTAAAAACGTGTCGGCTCGTTCGAAGTGATAAATCGGACTCATAGAAAATCGACATAAATCAATCCTTGTGTTTCGCGATTGCTTACCATCGGGTATCAATGCAATCCGTCTGCTCGTTTGCCGACTTATTCCATAAAAAGTTCCTTATTTGTATGACCGCACAATACGAGTTAACGACGCAATAAAGTCAATTTTAAAGGGAGGATTTCTTAGGAAACTAAATATTTAATATGGTTTCGTGATTATACTAATTAGAAATATAACACTCATTTGAAGTTGAAAGATTAAAAAAATATCAAGTGTTACCTGTCGTTTCTCTGGTATGGGGATGGGTGTAGATGACTCTTCGTTATTTAATGAATTACTCCTTGGTCTCGATGCTTCACTCAAATCCGGGTTCGATGGAACACCTAAAGGAAATTAATTTAATCATTAGCTCGTAGTCTGGATATATTCCACAACCACGACTATGATCGTTTTCAGGGTGTTACTTTCCATAACATGTTTGCCATCATCTTCAGACTTGATTTTTATGTTAGTCTTAGAATACACAGGTAAAGATTAAGACTGGTGACCATACTTTTTCGTCACTACATTATGCTGTTAACACTTGAAAGAATCATGTTTCAGCTCACATATAATCTGTATGTTATATTATTGATTGCAGCGTTGTGTTTCATCCTGTACCTAATATCTCCTCGGATCTCCCAGCTCCTTTTTCAGTGTTGGCAACACATTAGTAACGTCTAGTGTGCAGGGGTACCCATAGTTAACTACCAGGTATATTTCTGCTCGTTTGCCTATTTCATACTAAAATATATTATAAGTAAATAGTGATATGTGTAAATTACCAGAGATGAGTATCCCCGCGGCGGCGGACATTGCGTGTGCATGAGTACGTGAGGTGGCGGCGCGTACAATGTTCCCGCGCCGCACTAACGCCTCGAATGCTGAGGAACGGGCCTCCGCCTCGCGGTCACATGCTGCAAGAAAAACACATTATTAAATAGGTACAATATAAATACTGCAATATTGATTATCATCAGATCAGATACAAGACGTCTAAGACGTAGTCCACACTAATCTGTTACCTACTAATTAGACCTGTTAGGCTATGTCTTAAATAGGGCTGATTTTTCAATGGTCAGATAAAAGACATCTGGGGAATAATTACGATCCTGTCGCGTCAGAATGTTTGTATAAGTTCAAAGACAGTGACTAGAACAATTTTATTCCTCAGATAACATTTATCTGACTGTTGAAAAATTAGCTCTTAGTTATTCATTGATCGACAGCTAGGTATTTTCCTAGATTAAAATTAATTATTTCGACTTTTCAATGTAATAACTTATTAAAATATAATCATACTTCCATTCATTAATTTGACGATGTACTTCATTTTAATTTTTTTCTATGTAACGTTTCAAAAATAACTATGCTGAATGACGTAAAAAAATTGACATCATATTTTAGAATCTCATACTACAAATTCATAGAAAGGTATCGTTTTTGACATGTCAACAAAATTATTGAATTTTAATAGTTGGAAACTAGCGAATCGTTATCACATTGTTTAAACTTAATTACAAGGTAGAGTAAAATAAATAGTTACCGGAGTCCAAGCTGGTCCGGCTGTGAGCAGGTTCACAGGCAGCCATGTTGGCTAGTCCCGCCAACTCTCCGCCCTCACCCACTGCCGCCGCAGACCTTACGCGGGGCAAGGTACTGCTACCTGGAATGATAGTCAGTTTATAGAAAATGTATGTGCTAACGAAACTAAAAATTATTGAAAAATAGCGTTACATTTGAACTAAGTACAGTATTTTGGGACACACCAGTTTAAGTTGCTAAAACTACTGCAACTCCTGTAAGTCAGGATCTACTGGCTGGATGGAACTGACTCAATGGTTGAGAAACATTGTTTTTGTAATAAGGCCCAAAAAGTATAGACAGAAAAACTTATATATAGATTGAATACCTACCCATTTTTAACCAACGATGTTACGAGCCCCGTGTAATAGATAACATTAGTAAAACCAAAAAGCCCTATTAGTCCTTTACAAAAATCTAATCTTAGGTTTGTAAGCTGTTTCGATATGTTAAATTGAAATTTTTCAAGGGCAAATGAGCTGATTCTCGACAAATCCTTAGTGATATTCCAAGTAGAAAGTGAATAAATAAATATCTTACTGCCAGCCGACGTAGAGTTGAGGGTGTTCCGACTTGCTCTCTGGGCACCAGCTTTTCTAAACAACGCTGCGCCGACAACAGCGATACGAAGCTTGTTCCATAATAACTGAGCGCCACTGCAATATAAATAAAATTAAATATTATTTTAATAATATAGTACAGCAAATGTGCACTTGTACTAGTTTAATGTAGATAATGTCAAGAAAAAAGTAGTATTTGATTTTTCTTTTGCTTTGTGCCTAACTGGTATTTTAGCAAACAAAATAAAAAAAAAAAATTAATATGTCACAAGTAAACCAAGTATTGAATTGGACTAGTGGTAGTTCTAGTCAAAATCAACAGCTTTTTAATATTGTCAAGTCCATTGTTTACTACGAAATATAATGAAAATGTAAAAATCATTATATCTAACAATATGTAAAACTCAACAAACCACATTTTCGACTACGAAAACCAGCCAATAGGAATGTATCTGCCGTAATTGGCTTAGAAGTGGCGGGTAGGTACCTGGGCATGTCCTGTGGCCAGGTGGCCTCGAGCACGCATCGGTTGTAGTACCCGTAGGTGAGCGCGTTGGGCTGCAGGCCGGCGCGCTTCATCAGGAACAGCAGCTGCACCGCCAGCACCGGCAGCGACTGCACGCCGCATAGCTGCATCATCACGCGGTAACATACCTGCACCGACAAACATTATACTACTATTTAATTTTTTTAACTAGTTTTTACCTCCCTTCATTTGACTTCCTTATACTCCTCTACCTATATACACTACCTACGTACGTATACCTCTACCTACCTATCATATATTCTTCTTCAAGTTCTAAACTATATCCCCGCCAATTCCCAACGAAATCGGTTCAACCTTTCTTGTTTTGAGTTATGAATAAATTAACTTTTATATATATACAGCCCCGCCTGCTTAGCGCGGGTGTTCCAATGCCTCTCTTTCGACAAAGTGGTCGATATTTTTCTATTCACCTATGTACTTTTCTAAAATTTTAAGTCATTAACAAATCAGATTCAGGAATTATTTTGATATGAATTACCAACAACTGAATGAAGAGACTTACAAGTGCTTTGCGAGCTTATAGGAATTGGGGATTTAAAGATTACGGTGGAAGAGAAAATAGCACCACCGATGTCCCTACTAAACACTTATTAAGACCGCGACTCCCGACACTCGACTCTAGTGAAATACTACAGTGACAAATGACCGTCCCAAGTGTATTTCTATGTTTTATATTTGCGATTCCATAATTACATTTATTTTCATTTAAACATAGTTTTAGTTTAACTTTCAACTCACCTCATCACAGGGAACTTTTAATTTGGTAGCTCGTTCTAACAATTCGAACGCAGCTCTCAAAGTGGAATGTTCCCGTCCCCTATTCAGCATCATTCGACATGGCAGCGAAAGGAAGTATAGAGAGTAGCATGCGCCAAGCAAACATTTCGCCCAAGCCTCCGCTGATAAACTCGCTTTACGGGCCAATCTGTAGAATTTTGTTAATTCATACATCAAACATTAAAATCAGAAATCAAGTTATTTAATTGATGCGCAAAAATCAACAAATAAGTTGCGCAAATATCGCGCAAAACATACAATTTGTATATGTTAAGTATAAACTTAACTGATATTAACTAGGGAATTGGATTCAGTAATAATCCGATGGGAATTTGAAGCAACTTTTATAAACGTATACCGCCGCATTACAAAAAAATAGGTTTTCTTTACTCTAGGTCTAAACCATTGAGCCAGTTTTGTGTTTCGAATTGAAGGTAGGAGGGAATAAGATTCAAAATACATAACCTGACTTAATGGTTTAAACCTAGAATAAAGATAAATCTGGTTTTGTAATAAGGGGCATAGTCATGATTAATGATTAAGTTAAACATCTATTATTTCACTGTTTTAAAATTAAGTTAATGTAATATGTTACCTCTGTGCAGCTGCTATCTCATGCTTAGTACGTCTTGCCATAGGCTCAGCGTCTGTGAGCGACTCCGCCGAGTGCAGTGCGGCGGGGGGCAGAGCACCCAGGGCTGCGCCCCTAGCTCGCCCACTGCAGCCTGACATCACGGCCGGGTCCAGCTCAAACCGAGAGTACGAATAGCGTGCCTCTGTACAAAAATGTGTCTTGTATTGCCCCTGTTTATTATATTCAACTGTTTTTTGCTGAATCAACTATGGGTAGCTAGTTAATTATCATGTAGAAGGATAATATTTAGACTTAGATGAGAAAAAATCCAAATATATGACCGTCTGGAACACTTTTGTAATATTAATTAGAGCGACTGAAATATTTGACTTAGATTGCGCTAAATCTTGCGCATTGCGCTTATTATGCTATGCACCAATCACTACGAAAATGCATGACAATAGAAGAGAAAATATCTCTCATTAAACGTTATCTTACCGGGATCAGGAGGGTCAGGCGGTAGAACAAAAGCGGTTCTCTCAGACGCATTACTAGTATCCATCCCTAACAACTGCTCGTCTCCTGCGGCGACCCTTTCTATACACTCGTCGAAGAATGTGAGCCCCTGGTCAGGCTCGTACACGAACGAACGTTCCTCTATGAAACGAGTGAACATTTGCGTTCGCATCATTAGGCTGTAGAAACGTTGGTGGGTCTGAAAATGAAGGACGTCAGTTTCAGTTGAGTAAGAAATTCAATAACTAAAATACTTGAAAAATCGTATTAAAAGGAACTAAAACTGTCTACTCCAATTACCGTCTCAAGTTCACTTTTTTTAGCACGGCAATCAAGCAAATGGTTTAACTGATAGTAAGCAATCGGCGCTCATGGACTTGTTATACCATGGAAATAACTAAAATTGCGCTACCGGCCTTTTGAGGGTTATTTTCTAGTGATTTAAGCATAGGTTTTCCTGTAATTTCCAGTAACCTCACTCATACGGCAAAATACAATGCTGTGTTGTTTCTCGCTGGTTTCTGCAAGGCCAATGGTATCACTCCAGTCGACACGACCCATTCGCGACGAAGCATGACTCTTCCACACTTAAAAAACAAATATACTCTAATAAGGCTTATTTACCTTGTCCCTCGACCGTAGGAAGGCGTCCATATGAAACAGAGCATGTGGGTCGGTAGTACCGACTGTAGGCGCTTTCGTTATAGGAATGAGATAGTTGCGGTACCCTTGCAGAGTCACCGCCATGAATCGAAGAAAAGCTTCCTGGATTTTCAACTCTAACGCTTGCTGAAAAGGTATAAAATTAGTTATTTAAACGTTTTATGAATATTAGAACTATTTTAAGGATAACTTTTGCTTGAATAGTGTTTTAGTGGATATATTGTAGGTAATATAATTATGTTATATTATAGTATAAAAGAATGAACGATTCAAGACGAACGGACCTAATATATTTAAGCTTAATTGAGATAAAAATCTTAAAACATACTTGGGGAGTAGTTTTAATTTATTGTTATGATAAAAACTAGATTCAAAGTAACTTTGATCACATCATGAATATGATATAACAATTACCTACCTCTTTTTTCCTCTTTTGGAAATCCCTGTCTAAGCTTGTTGTTGGCTCCCCATTATATTTACCTTCAGTAGAATGGTGGACTGGTGATGCTGAAAACAGATACATAGAATAAATTAAGACAAAAGAGTTAATATCACGTAGTTTCGATTTTCCTACTATCTACTAATGTAAATGATCCGTATATTTAAAACAAATATTGTATTGATAAATTCATTTTTTGATAAACAGATGCGATTTAAAAAAAAATATACTAACCTGGTCTAATATTTCCGTAAAGTAAGTCTAATGTTTGTCTAAGAGCTCTCGCTTGTCGCTTGGGTAGAAGTTTCAGAGATATATGCCTTTGTGATTCGCATATCTGGAAAATAAAAATAATATAAGACTATAAAAACTCTAAAAAGTTGCGTTACAAATGCTATTATTTAAACTCAAAATTGCTTTGCCCTGCCAAGGAACAAAACCATCTTCGTAATCGTCTTTTGTAACCCATAAGTACATAGCTTAGTCAACATTCCTCAATTTCCAAAAGAACGGCCTCGGGAAACTTTCTGCTATACTACAATTTCCTCCCGTGTATTGAGTGTGTTTACAAACATATGAACCTACGACTCATTGCGAGACAGTCAGTTGCCCAGACACCGCGTCAAACACGCAATCGTATGCCATAAAGTTCTTATTGCATCAAAAAAATTGTCGAACAAAATATTTTTCTTTTCATATGTGTAGGATTGAGACGGCAAAGAAAATGCAGTCGTTTCATCAGTCTTTTATTTTTCCAATCAAACCGACCACAGAGCACACACTTCGAAACTTACGTTACACCATCTTGTTCTTTATTCAAATTTTTTTCCATCCTTTCACTCTTTCACACACATGTACTCTCTTTCTTTCATTTAATCATGCTTACAATTCTACATATGTTATAGTACTTACTGTAATATTGTTAGTGTCTAAATCAACACACGTGACATCTGGTGGGGGTTCGAACAGATCAAAAAATCTCGAGTCCACTCCGATAAGGTACGGCAAAGGAGCGTGTAATACTTCTGCTAAACCTAAAACATATAAAACAACACAAATCAGCAATATTCAACTTTAATTACATTGACGTAAGGTTCATATTTGAATGCGTACGCGGTGTTTTGGAATTATCAAGTCTAATAACAAAGGATTATGGTTTATATTTGATTGTTTTTTTTACAATAGTTGCGTTTTGAGTTCACTTACCTAATGGACATAATGGGATGTATGGACATTGCCATTTGAACGGAAATAAAAGACTTGAGACGGCTTCTGAGACTGCTGTTAAAGTATCGGGCCTGTAAAATAATAAATAAAGATTAGCTTTAAAAAATGGCCAAAAGAAATGCACTTATTATAATTTTGAGTGAATTAACAATCTCAACCACAAATTATTATCAATTAGGTAGCTAGAGCAACATTCACGTTTCCACATTTGGTAACTTCAGACATTCCTATTCAAAAATGTACTTTAGTTTAACATAAATAGAGTTAAATTTTCAATAAAGTATTGAAGAATATATTTAATTATTACCTGAGCGAATGTATAAGTACTTTTTGTTCGGTGATAGCTAGAGCTAGGACAAGTAAACAGTTGTCTGGACCTAAGTTAAGCAGTAACTGTCTGAAACTGGCCCCGCTGCGCACGAGTGGCTGGTCGTCGCGACGTGTCACTATAACTCGGTCGTGCTGATTCGTTGGAGACAACTGGAAAACAGAAATATTGTTGGTAAGAAACAGATTCGTTTCAAGAGTTGTAATAAAAATGTCTCATAAAGGAGGAAAAAAATAATCAGAAAAAATAAACCTATGCGCGCGCATCGGCCATAGACTATAAAATGATGTTTTTCTTTTATTTAGGCTTTTTACGGATAGTATTAAAATACTATGCTGCTTTAGTGTAGCGTAACTGTTCCTCGGCTCCTTAAAACCCTCGCCTAGCGGCTCGGGCCTCAATGCGCATCAGCGGTTATCACCAAAAATACACACTTGTACCTTAATGTACTAGTAGAGCAGGTGCAACTACGGATTCGGGTGCTATTCTCTGATTGCATAATTGAATAATAGTGTTAAAGTTTTAAAATAAATAAAATTACGTAATTTGGATTTACCAGTATAGGCATTCGCTTATTGCGTGGGACAATCCACAGGTAAAACCGGTATTCTGGTATTGTAATAGTTGGAACATAAATTTACTAAAGCATAACCTTGTCGTCTTAACTCACCCTATAAATAGCCTTTCGTCAAATAGCATAAGACACTCAATTGAAACGATTAGTCAAAACAACACATCCCTTATTTGTTTCTCGATCGTGGGGTTGTAGGGCGTCCTACAACCCTACACAGTCAAAGAATAACTGATGTAATGTAAAGAACTTACTTGTAACAATATTCTTGGTTCGGGGAAGGGCACTTCTTCTAGCAAATGTGTTATATACCTCTCTATAGGTATGTTTAAAGGTTCTTTACTCCATGACATTTCCTGAAAGAAAAATAACATCATTAGTTTGTTCGGAAGCAGTGTGAAGGCTGCTTCTTCGCTTTTCGTTATTAATGACTACACTAGTTTTATTTATAGCTACTGAGGATCCCTATAGAGTAAAGTTTACCAGTACTTAACTACTTACCAGTATGTAAAGCAGCCATCTTTCGAAAGTATCGCTGAAGGGCCACCGAGACAGTAAGCATATGCACTTGATAGCATACACAGAGTGCGTGCTATGTGAGACTCCTTCCCGCCATCCTAACAGTTCCATTTGTTCTTCAGTTAGCTGTGTGTATGGGTACTTCTCGTAGAACGTCACGGCAGATCCGTAAACCTACGAAAAGGTGATTTAGATTGTATTGCTGTCGTAATAAAATCGAACATTGATTGATTTATGGAGTTTATTACAAGTATTACTGATGTTATTGTATATTGGTTGAAATTACTGTAGCTCAAAATTAAATTATATAGGAGATACTGTTGTAGACTTAGTATACTCCTGTTTTATATTGATTATGACAGCTCAATAATAGCATGTTTTTAAATTGTATTGAAAAACTTCACTGTCTTTCTTAGTACCTATAGGTATTATAACAAAACGAGAATAATTGTACATTTTCTTCGAACTTATATGCAAAATTTCAACGACCAGTATATTCATTCATTACCTTATAAGTAGCGTCCGCAACAGTGAGTACAAAAGTAGAGAATACTGGTTTAGGCATCGCCGCATTGTTAGGCCATAGTTCTAGGGTCGCTCCCATTGGCAGACAGAAAAGTGGCACTGAAGTAGGAAATACTAAGTTACGTCGCTCTACCGTTGGATACCTGTGGGCAGAAAGACAATTGATTTAGTGTTTCAAAGGATCGTGAGGATGTAAGGATTTTCAAAAATATATAAGTATCTGTATATACTAGTATTATTATTCATTTTGAGAGTATTTGTTTGGTTGTATGTGACAATCTCTGAAACTGCTGGGTCGAATTGAATAAATCTTCTAGATTAAAAGTATAGATATTGACTTCTCTGTTATTGCACAAAATCTGAAATTACATCATGTCTACTTTACAGTAAGTAACGGTCCAAATATTACGGTTAGTGTTGTTAGAAGTTTAAGTTATTTTATTTATTTGATTCTCTTTGGAAATATAGCTACTGCGCGATTTGAAAAAGTGTTCCGTTTGCCTAATTCCTGAAGTTATCTACTTTTATATGAAATAGCACACGAAAATCTAGTCTTTGAATTGTTAAAATTCATATTGTAAGGAAAATTATCAAACACATTTTACAAATAATTAAGAAAGGAAATTAACTAATTGGTAGTAAGTCTCAATTACCTAAATTTTAAATATAAATAGATAACTAGTCTGATAGAATATTATATAGTAGCGTAAACAATATTGGCATTATAGTCAAGGATGACCGAATTATAAAAACTAGATATTTATCACTTAGGAGATAAAAATCTGATTGTGTCATAGTCGCCTTCTGCTAAAATCCTGTTTGTATAATCCGGTAGTTTCTAACTAGTCAAATTAAATACTTCTATTAAAATGTACTTTTCTATGAATTTTATACAAAACCGCAACGCATGGCGTGCTATTAGATTTACGTTAAAAAGCATACATAATATTTTTGAGAAAATAGCTGGAAAAATTATTTGTATACTAGGGAATAAGTACATATCTAGTTTATGGTATAGATAATATATAAATAATTGAAGAGCAGCAATTTTTTTCAGTAAAGGTATGGAGACCTTAATCTTGGTTTATATTCAACTTCGGGGACATTTACTAACTAAATTTAATCATCATAGACTACAGAGACATACACTATGATGATCAAATTTAGAATCGCATGCCGCATAATGGTGCTATAACTACATAACAATAACAAGTATATAAGTAAGTGTGGTTATTAAACCTTCTCCGTGTGAGAAGATTAGAAGAACACTGCTGAGCAGTCTCTCAGCAGTGTGCGCTTACAGTTGGTGATAACGAATCAATAATTGATCTATATTTTTAAAACTGATATATAAACTAATTTGTTCAATGACGAAACACAAACGAAAGTAAGCGTCGCGTCGTATAGAAAGTTAGCGGGCATAAACAGAGGATTCGTTAAAAAGATCGAAGGTAATGTTTGTTTATTGTGTTAGAAGGTCAAGGTCACAGACTGTAATTTATTTTAAAATGCAAATACAGTTATAACTGCAGTTTTTGTATACACCTATAGGTATATGACTAATTGGAGTAGATAAAACGGGAAATGATTAACTTCGGGTCGGTCAAACCGCTAATTAATGACGCACGCTGAGAACGTTATAATTAGTTACCGTTCCAAATTTTTGGATAACCTGAAATTTCTGTGAACTAGTTACGTTTTTATTTGTTTGTAAATAGAACTCTTACTGTTAATTGTGTTAGACATGGGAAACTATATATAACTATCCAGTCAAGTTCAGTACTTATTTAGAAATGTCAAAATTAACAACAAACTTTTGACAACATTGACGAATTGTCAAAGTCTTCTAAATAGATCACTGTGTTGTTACGTCAAAATTGCTACAAAAAAGCCTTTTGATAAAAAATGAACTACTTAGAACTTGAAAACTTCTTTGTTCTCCCGTCGAAGAATACTCAACAGATCAGTTGAGACGCCAAGTTTAGTTTAAAAAGCCATACATTTTTAAGTTTGACCGAAAATCGAACATATTTTTGTAAGTGAATTTAATTAAACGCTGAGATTATTAATGGTAATTATTTTTGAACAAACAATGAATTTCTTTAATTTTCAACTTTAAGACAACGCCATAAAGCTGATTTAAATCCAAAAAATATATTATCAACGTGATTGATTGCCAAGAAACGATGCAGTTGAATAACAAACCTAATTTGATGATTGATAAAGTTTGTTTTAATGTGTTTTTAATACATATTTACCTGAAGAGCACATCGGGTTTGTAGGCAATTAGTGGTGGACGGTTCATTGACTTCTTGTAGCAGAGAAACACATCACTGCCCATTAAACCTGGAATTTTAATATTAAGTTGAGAACCTATATTTGGCTTTAAGAAAATCACGTTTAAAAAGGAAGAAGACACTATTAAGCCAACTTCGAGTAGCTTGTGGGATTTGGGAAAGACAATTGTAATAGGTTTATAATGATCATAGATATGATATTGACGCAACTTGTAGATTTGTTTTAAGCACTTTGAATGAATTTACTAGAGCCGCATTTGTTTCGTTTTGTTATGTACCCATGTATGATATCCATACATGGGTACACTTGACATTTTTATTGTGTTAGTTTGGTTTTTATTTATTAAGTGTTATTAGAAATAAGTAGCAACACTATTATAATATGTGAATTAGGTAAAAATAGTTACATGTTTGGCGAATAAATAAAAAAAAAATATATGTAAAAAATAAGATCGTGAACAACAATGTTACAACGCGCTCGGCGCGATAAATTATTTCAGATCTTTGATTAGTTATCTTCTACTAATAGAAGAACAGATATAAAATAGGCATATAAATTTTCCATTTTATGTAGGAGAAAATTACCCAAATATTTTGTAACTGAACTGTGTTATTATTAAACTTAAAAACGTATATTTATTGTGAATTGAATAACAAAAAGATAAGATATGGATTTGTATATAAAGAGATAGATAATCCAATACCTAGAAAGTTTCGTATTCATTGTATAAACGTGATATCAAAGAAAGATTACACTGAACACTTACGCTGACCATATTTATGAATGCCTGGCATTTCATACAACTAATAATATAAACGCGAAAGTTTATAGATAAGTATGGATGGATCAATAGACGGATGTTTTGTTACTCTTTCAAGTAAAAACTATAAAACGGATCTTAATGAAATTTAGCGTAGAGATAGATTATAGTTTAGAATACAACATGGGCCTCTTTTTACCATGTCAAAGTTAGATTCAAATATTTTTGAAACATAAGTAATGTCTTTTAAAACTGTTTTTACCCTTGTGACATAGCTTGATTTGGACAAATTATTGGATGTTGTCCAAATAAAATCAATATAACAGTAGGCTGCGCGACATCGCCGCACACGGCGATGAAGGAAGAACCCCTCTGTGGTTCGAAACTAGTAGAGCTTTTCTCAATTACACACGTGAGTAACCCGCGATTTTTAGTTAATTTAGTATGTCTCACGAAAGTTATTATAAAAAACAATATATATTTAAGAAAAGAAACACCCTTACCTTTATTCAAATTCTTAGGGATCATACAAAATGCGTGTGGCGGACATTCCCCCTTGCTGGCGACTATCACACACACATCGACGACCACAAGAGCATTACATGGTGCTCCTGGATGCGCTCGCCTGTACGTTATGAAGGTTTTAGCTGTGGAGTTGTTGACATTGGCCAATCGACCACCAGCTGAGACGAGGACCATTTCTGCGTCAGCCATAAGTCGCTCTTTACCGTCGTACATGACTCCTGGGGATAAAAAGGTATTTTGAAGTAATGTTTCATACTAATATTATAAATGAGTTTTTTTTTAAGTATTTGCTTGCCTGCTGGATGTTTGTTATTCCTTAAAACTATAATAGGTTTGAATGAAATTTGGTGCATCATAGATTTATTAATAGTGTAGAATAATACTTATACTTTTCGATCGTGAAAACTAGTATAACATAAATAGGACTCGAATCCATTATTTAAATATGTTACATAATACACTATTTCAATCTAGAAGATAAGCTTAATTGAGTATTTTAGCCGGTAATATTGGTGTGGGAAACATAAGCATCCAGACATGTATAGGTTAGGTATATTTTAAAAAATAAGTAATTATACAATAATAGTGTAAAAAATAAAAATACGCTTGTGTTATCTCAAAAACAAAAACTTTTTGTATTATCTAGTTAATATCATGTGTCGTGTATCGCGCAAAGCTGTTCATGACTTTAGGCCCCCAACGTGGCTTGAAACTAGTCGAGTTATTTGTCCAACAGTCATGTGACATAATACCCAAAACATAGGTTTTAAAGAGCCAAGTTAAATGACGTGGACTACAAAAAAAAAAACGTAGAATGATATTTTACGATACGTTTCATTTAATTGACCGGCCTTACTCATTAATTTATTATTGTAAGGCGATACGAAGTCCGCCTAGACTGGTAGTTATTGATAAAAATAAAAGAAATCAATCGGTGACCTATGTAGGTAATGTTATGGTTGATGAATCATTTCCACTCAAATTCAAATAGTATCTAGTTAATTAATAAACGTATATAGTTCAAATGTGGTGGAGTCATGCTTCGGTACGAATGGGTCGGCTCGACCGGAGTGATACCACGGCCTCACAGAAAACCGGCGTGAAATAGCATTTCGCCGTGTGAGTGAGGTTACCGGAGGTCCAATCCTTCCCCTCCCCCAATCCCTCTTCAATCCCTAAATCTCCAAATCCCTAATCCCCAAAAGGTCGGCAATGCACACGTAACTCCTCTGTTGTGGGTGTCCATGGGCGGCGCTGATCGCTTACCATCAGGTAATCCGTCTGCTCGTTTGCCGATCTATTACATAAAAAAAAACAAATAGCAACAGCTGATTGATCATTTTACATGGAGAAGTAAACATTTTTTTTTGAGATTTCCATTTCTCTCTTATTCAAAAGCTTTTGTTTTATTCCTTGAATATATCCTTCGTGTAACGTAACACAATGTATTCTTGACTTATCTTCATGTAAAATTGGGGGAGCTTCGTAAATTACAAACGGCGATTCATGACTGTGTGATCTTACTTATTTACAAGTGTTCAGTTATCAGACAATATAACTTCAATTGCATCCATACTACCATAATAAGCGGTATTATTATAATCTTAACGATATAGGATAATATCGATAGACACAATAAAAAAGAGTGGCGTTAAAATATTTCAAACAATAAATTAGACGAGTAAGTTCTAATTTAAAACAATGTAACACAAAAGAAAATAACAAAGCATTAACAATACGTAATAGAATGAGTATACTGCATCGAAAACCAGCATAATTAGGCGTGGCTACTATGATAAAACTACTACCGATAACGCTGCATAGCACCTATTATCACAGAGATACAATATGACCTATCTATATTAAAGAATTAACCCACTTATTCGATGGATTTACTATGGGACCGCGTGACGTCACCGTTGTATGTGTTTTGATTATTTTCCTTCGAGATAACGACGGCTTATCTCCTTGGACGAGTACCTGGATATTGTGGTGGGCTACTTTAAAATTGTTATTTAAAAAAAACTGGTTATGGATATTCGTACTCGTTAACTTGGTATTTTTTTTCTTGATATTTGTTTCAAATTATTGGATGTGTCCACGTTAACATAAGGGAGAAAAAATTCGAAATGAGACGATATCTCATCTTACACATTACTGTCTAGTCATGAAGAAAAGGATTTTTACAACATAGGACACGTGTAACATTGTCTCAAACATCAGAAGAAAGACTTTTTTCTATTAATAGTGACGTGACTCCGGTCTTGTTTACATCCAAACATAGTTTGGGAAAGTCAAAGTAATAAAAATCGTCTATCTTATCGTGCAGAAAATCCAATAAGATTCGAACGTATAAGATAAGTTTACTAAATGGAATGGAGGGCTAGTTCAGACATACTTAATGGCACTTGCGTTTGCTGATGATAAAATGTTTTGAAGACTTTTGGTTTGAGGACAATTTCAGTGCAGACAGCGCATGTTTATTTACCGTTATATATTTTACTAGCTTCTGTTTCACTCGCGGCTCCTCCAAATCGTAGCGTGATGTTTTTAAGCATAAAGCCTTCCTCAATAAATGTAGGTATTAACAAACACAAAAAGAATTATTCAATTCGAATCAATGGTTTTGGAGATTACCGCGTTCAAACAAATAAACTCCCCACCTTTATAATATTATAAGGATAGATTTTATTTTAGTATAGGGTAGTTTATAAATTAATTAATTAATAAAATCTTAGTACTTAGACATATATAACAATGTCATTTAGTTTAGTCTTATTTATTATGTTTATGCTGGACTTACTACCTAACATTTCAGTTGCGAGTCTATTTTATAAGCTATCCACAGCACAATCTCATGCTTTTCTAATTCTTTTGTCAAGCCATTAACAGTTAGTCGTTTTATGTATTTAAACCTTTTCTAAACCATTGTTTAGTATGCAACGCTAATCCTATTTATAGAATCGGTTAATTTAAGTGTTATCGAGGTACCTACGTTTCCGTTGCTTATGAATAATTCATTTTTAATGTAGGTTGAAAGGACGCGTTCGCCAGTGTGAACCTAAAACTTTTTTATAGGCAGTGTGTATGAAAAAAATAAATTGGCAATCTAACTTTGACCTAGTATGACGGTGGGTGTCATACTATAATGAAGTTAAGACGAGATAGGTGCTAACACAAAATATATCCCAAGAGGATCATCAACAAAAATTGCTAAAGTGCCAACCGCAAAATTGTGTACAAGGTCAAGGACGGGACTAAGATGATTTTAACAAGCCTGCTGTTTGATATTTAACAAACATTGTAAGATTACTATCGAGACTTCAGTAAATAAAACGGTTGTTCAGAAACAGTTATTGTCTCAGAGGTCACTCAAGCATTTTTATCTTAAAATCCTTAATGACACTACTTTATATTTAGATATAACGTTTGTCTGTGACCCACAGAACAACAATACAATGCAATCATGTTCGTATTCCACGATTCTAGTCTCGTCTAGTGATTGGTTTGATTATTCGAGTGTAGGCGTTTAACTGTGTAGATGAATATCTTAATAAGATTCCCTATTTACAGCTGCTGAGCCATACGCTTAGTAATGCGGTTTATTTGTAAGTATAGTTTTCATTTTGTGATCGTGTAATAAGGGTAATTTTGATTATGGATAAGGAACAGTACAATACATGACATAGTGTCAATACAATCTGTATTGACACTATGTAAAAAGAAATTTTCATCGGAAGCCCCAATCGTGGTGGCCTTTTCTGTGTTACAGAAATCAAGATGCACGTGCATTAGATGAGGTGAAGATCTCCCCCGTGCTTACCTGTTAATACTCCATAATCGACATTAAAATACTCCTCGGCAATTGAAAAACTCGAATCTTTTGACGAGTCAAGAGAGCACCTAACTTCACTGACGAACAGACTGATAGACTATATTCTATTTTGACGTTTCATAAGTACCTATTTATGATTTAGATGAAATAAATGATCGTGACTTTGACAAAAAGAATAAAAAATCATTTGTAGAGATAGAAAATGTTCTGTACACAATTTTCCCTGATAGGTGACGAGAGAAAATTGAGCACATAAAAGTATGATCATTATCTTATAGGTACAAATGGAGACACAATACCATGTTACATTGAACTCAAATGACTCTTAAAGATAGACGAGTATTAATCTTTTTTTTGCAAAAATACGCTACCAAGTTTAACTGAAGCTTCTTCATTTCAAAATATATAAGGTATATTACTCGATTTAAAAACAATAGATTTCCTTAGTACGTTTTCGATTGGCAAATAAACATAGAATTGAGACAGTAGGTTTGTTACCTAATGGTTTTGACCTTTGGCTACAATATTAAATGGAACTTTCCGAGCTTGCATGTCCAAGGTATCAAAAGGGCAAGGTTGGGGTGTAAAGCATACGTGACTAGTTGAGTTTTCACTGGTTTTCATTCAATCTAATGCTACGGCATTGGAAGACAATATTGTTGAGTTTTTTTTTATGTTTGTAACGAACAATATGAAGACGAGGTTGGTGTTTAAAATATTACAACTTCCCTTTAGTTAAAGGTCTGAACTAATTTGAAAAGGTCTGCACGGTTGGTGCGGTGGCTGGGCAACTGGCTGCCGTGCAACGTGTCGCGGGTTCGATTCCCGCACGGAACAACACTTTGTGTGATCCACAAATTGTTATTTCGGGTCTGGGTGTCATGTGTATGTGACATTGTATGTTTGTAAATGCACCCACAACACAGGAGAAAATCCTAAAGTGGGGCAACGTTTTTTTTTACAAAAGAAAAGGTTATGTTCTGTGCTCTATATATGAGTTTATTAATAACACAAAATTATTATTCTGTTTGAAAGAACCTAGTGTCTGTTAGTAGGATTTGAATCTCAGCATAATCATCGATTACCGTTTTCAATTATAAGTACATACGTATCTAACTGGAAGCAAGCAGTGTTACATATTGTTCAGTATAGAGTTTTACATAACAATGAAATTGTGCTATTCACATTCATCCGTAGTTTATTTTTAAATAAATTACTCATTCAGAAAGCTATAAATTACATTAACTGTTACCCATATTCGTACAGTATTACTTCTGTAAATGGCATTAGAATTATTAGTACCGTTTAAGGTTAAAGCGTCTTACTACCATTTGAAAGGCTAATATTTTTCCATCCGTTTGCCGCGCACATGTCATTACAAACACAGCTTGCACATTCAGACAAGTGTTTGTTTGTAAATATTAGTAAACTGACAGAAGTAAGTGCACAATGCACTAACTACTTTTAAAAACAACAGAAGCTCACAAAGGCGAGCTAATACAAAATTTGCGCAAAGAACTTGCGCAAACTGTGACAATTTGCGCAAACAATCAAAACTGTTGGGAAACTTATTTAAACTAAAAACTGGCCCTGTGTATTGGGGGGGCTTAGGTAATTTAAGTTTCGAATGTGCATTTATTCTTATGTCCGAGTTTAATGACCAACCTTTATCAAAATCTTATCTCCCTACAGATAATAATCAAAAATTGGATAAAGGTCAGTTATTTATTTTGGTCATTCATGGGCAAACTTACCGATATCGACAAGAGGCGGTCGATCCCTGCCCCTTCGTACGCAGAGGTAACATTCTGGTGACCGCATGGACCCATGGTTTAAGTCTGCTGGCAAACCTGTTGGTGTCGTTTCTAGCACTTCGAAGCCATTTGGGACAGTCTCTTCAAGGCCAGGGAATATTATACCTGGAACAAAATAAATATTTAGTTGTGGAATATATTGCTAAAATTGGACTTGAAACATGTTTTCATTATTAATCCCCCTATCCGATCTGGAAAGTACAATATCTATTATATTTTAATATGTACAAGTTTATCTTTTTACGTATTCTGTCTACCTACATTTATGGGGCTGATCTTATCATAAAAGTAACTTAAAAAATATTCTATAGAAACTGTACGCGATAAGTGTATTGTATATTTCTACAAAACTGGTTCACGCCCACGATAAATTGGTAAGTAGGTACCTTCCTGCAAAAACTGGTACAGTGTTCAGATAGCGATAGTTTTTTAGTTGGATGCCGATGAATCATTGAACCTCCAAAATCACTATTGTGTAATACCGGAAAAGATACATCTAAAAACCTATACAGAATAAAAACCATAAAGTTATGTAGAGCTAGAGCACATATTTCGGAAATAACTTACTGTTTGATTAATAACAAACTTTCGTGCAAGCATTAAGCTAATCTGCGAATCAGAAAAATGTAAAGCCAGTTACCATGGAATAGTTCACAAAGAATCTCAATGCTAAGGCTTTTTTTATTTGAAAATTCAATAGCTATGAGGTCTTTGTGACCTGATAACCTTGACAATGGCTTTTCTTTATGTTTTTATTCGACGTTAGCTCTACTTCCTTCAAACGGCCTTCGTTTATTCGTTATAAGTTTTGTAACATATTATTACTATAATTGGCAAGTAAGTATTATAGGTACCTTGTTTTAACAGGTTTAATGTTACCTACGAGTCTTATGAGTATTTAGTCGATATTATTATCCGAAGTTAGGTATATAGTTTGTGGGATTAATAAACAGCAATGTTTATAGTAACCCGATCTTTTTCCACTTATATTGTCACCGCCTGATGTTGCCAAAATGTCTAAACTCGAAAGAGCTTCGTAAAAATATTTACATAAACTAACCAAGGTAATTTGTGTCCGATATTTATGGATCAGACTTCAAATTACTAATCCGAGATTCAAAAACATCTGTTAATTACGTACTCACACAAAAATATCTTCATATCAAGGTTTGAGGAAACCTTTCGCCTGTCAGTTTTCTATAACCCTCTTTTGTAACCCGCTTACATTTCGAACTACACTGCGTATAAATTAATGTAAACATTCATTATCTATGACGGGTAGACTAATTAACAATTCATAACCAAAAGAATGCGTATGTGCCTTACGTCACACAAACAATGCTGCTTTGTTGACCTGAGTATCTTGAGGTATAAGTGGCAATGAACCCAACTTGTAGTGTAGCTCGATATATGTATCAATGGTGTCAATACATGAGAACGGACAGACGGAGGGTCAAATGATCGTGGCCCTTTGTTAAATAATCAAGGCAAGTATGTACTGGCGAGTTACTTATGGTATAAGAGAGGAAATAAATGTACGATTGAGATAGATTGGAGCCTATCAGAGCAACTCAACAATACTTCTTTATAATAATTATTGTAGAGTGCTTTTATTGAAGTCTCGTCCGATGCGGGCGTGATGGTTTTTTAGATCCATATTTGGACTCAAAAAACATCAGCGCTCGCACGTTTGCGTCGACGGGACGATGTCAAAAGTATCCGAGTGGGCACTTTAGTTTCTTTTTCATTTATTTTTTGCTTTGGTACTGTAAGACGGAAACTATTACATCTTGTTGTTAAGTAACAAAATGTGGTTCCTTCTATTTCTGAATAATTCTCTAGCGTACTTTATTATCTTTAAAATAAAATAATCAAAGACTAGTATTAGATTGATTTTGTATCAAACAAACTTTGGTAACTACCTACATTCATATTCACATGCATTTATGTCAGCACGATTACAAGGATAATTTTAATAAAATTTTGCTACATGGTAACATAATACAGGTATTACATGTACCTACATCAAATTAAATACGTAGGTAAAATGTAACAAAAACTATTGTCATATGAACAAAGATTTTCTTACAGCAGTTTATTAATAGATATCAGAATAACTGAAGCTAAATTGACGCTACATTATGGCGCCTAACATTAGACGAACAAAGGTCATTCAAATTACAGGTAAGTTAAGTATTCAAAGGAAAACATATGATCTTTAATGTTTACACAAGGCATTAATAACAAATAATATAATGTTCTCATCTCTATTAGCACACCTGTTACTATTACTTGTATTATTATAATGTTTATAAAAGGTACCAAATGCATGATGCTTGATATATGATTATTGATATAAATAAATATTGCAATATGAGTTCCAAGTGTGTAAGTAAAAATTAAAATGTAATAAAAGATGTCAATTAATAAGGTACATGATGAATTATAGATTTATGAACATTGCTATCATCTTTAATCTTCAAAAATAAATTACAAAACTCAAATTTTATCTGCTTACAGATATAACAGTCAGAATGGATTCCAGGTTTTGGTGTGGAATCATCTGCACCATCAATTATTATAAAAGGTGAAGAAATTATAAATGTATGATGATTAAATACATAAATGAAACCTCAAAACTTTGGATAATATTAAGTAGTGATTAAGAATATGGACATTTTGTACATTATACTATTAGATCTGAATATTAAAGAATAGTGGCAGTTACTACTAGATACATCACTTATCTTAACAATCTAAATAAAAAAGGTTGTGTGTTAAAGAGGCTTATCAGGGTATGTTAATGACAGATTAAAATTAATGTAGGCAACATACAAGGATTTGTTTAGGTAGAACGAAAATATGAAATGTTAGTTTATCTGTTAAATAATATGTAGGTATTATACGCGTCTCCCATTATCTCGAGTTACGAAATAAAGTAACTATTGTTCGTAAATTAATCTTTTGATTAGAAAATTAGATACAGGGATATTAAAAAAAAAATTAAGGAAATGTTTTATGTAACTATCGAACTTTTCAACATTTACAAACTGTATACATTTAAATAAATCTATGTACACTCTATCTGCGCAATTAAGAAGTTATTCACAATGGTAAGCAAAACATAATCTGTGACATAAATCGTAACCAGTGTTTAAGTTAACAAATTTTAAGAATCATGACTTTATATAATTGTTACAATGACATAACAAAGCACCAACAATTTAAAACATAAAACATGTGATGTTTGTTTTGACAAGCAAACAAATAAACAAAACTTGAACAACTGCCAGAAATATCAATGAACACAGGTAATGTAATATACAAGTAGCCATTAATATTGTGGTTGATGTCCAGTTTCTTGATAAGGGAAATGACCTAGATTCAAGTAAACTAAACCTGTTTGGTTCATTAGGCAACAAATCTGTATATAAGTATGTGTCTTGAACTTGTTATGTACTTTCACAAAGTAGTAATAACTGCTTGTTTAATTTTTATGGGAAAGAGACACAGAGCAAATAATATATTTGGGCACTGGGCACCCGTTGAGCTACAATTGTAACTATAAGTCCACTCAGTCACATGTTGACTCTCAATGCAGACAACAATTCACGCCGCTTTTATATGAAGCCGAGACATCACACCTGGTAGAGCTTGCTCATTAATAACTCTCCTAGGTATGATGAGCATAAGAAAATATTTTCATTTCACATAATTATAATTGAAGTAAAATATTCAGATTGGCTTTACAATACCATTTTATTAATTTTCACAGTGTCATTTGTTTTCATAAAAAACTTGGGCTAGACAATTCACATGAAAAAAAATTGGTTGGTCAATGGTGCAGCTGTTATCTAGTTGGCAACAAAACTATTATTTGAATTTAGGTACTTATATCTTTTTATTGCAATTTCCCTCAGTGCTTGTTAGGTTTGGGTTGATGAAATAAAACTAAGTTTATTTATCAAATAGCAGAGGTGGAATTTATTATTTTACTTTAGGAGGTGTGTGTTGCCTGAAGGCGTTAGCAGAACCGAATGAGGGCGAGATGCAAACTTCTCAGTGAGGGTTAGCTGGCCACTTAAGGCACTTATAATAGTGGCGTGAGAATAATGAGTAGATTGATTTTTGTTATTCCAACACGCCCCCTCAAAAAATAATCTAAAATAAAATTAATTACAAACATAGTATCACACACCATCCTTTATCTGGGGTACAATCATTCAATGGTCCAACATTTGTTGCATAGGATTAGGGAAACCCAGGAAAACCTAATCAGACCATGTTATACTTATTCAAAATCTTAACCTAGTTAAGTATTTAATACTATAGATTTTATTCATATATAAAATATATTGTAATCTATTCTAGTCCCAATTTCTCTCTCAACTGGGAGAAACGAACAGTGGGTAACTGTTTCGTTAACACATCAGCCAACTGGTTACCTGTGGACACATAAATTATTTTAATAACATTTTTCTCAACTTGTTCTCTAGAGAAATGATATTTGATGTCGATATGTTTTGACCTTTTATGACATGTCGGATTATTTGCAATGCTTATGCAACCACTATTGTCCTCATAAATAGGAATCGGATCCAGTATTTTAATGTTTATACTGGTTACTAAAGACTTTAACCATAGAGCTTCTTTTACGGCCTCAAATAGTGCCATGTACTCTGCTTCAGTACTAGAAACTGCTACTGTTGATTGCCTTTTTGTTTTCCAACTTATAGTGCATTGCTCAAATAAGTTAAACAAATAACCCGTAGTACTTTTTCTATCCACTTCATCAGAACCCCAATCAGAATCAACATAACCACTTAACGGTATTTTATCTGAATTGCTCCGACGATAAGTCAATTTTAAATCAAGCGTCCCTTTTAAATAACGAAGCACTCTTTTTAAGTGTGACCAAAGTGCATGGTTGTTTTTGTTAGCAAATCTACTCAAGACGTTTAGACTATAACTCAAATCGGGTCGAGTGCAAACCATAATGTAAATTAAACATCCGATAAGGTTTTTACAAGGGGCATTCATTGTTTCACACGAATTTAAAGCTTCGAAATCAACTTTAGTTTCAAGTGGAGTACTGACATGTTTAC